CTTTCGCTATCACCGCTGAGGCACTGAGGCAAAGGCATACGCATTTTTGTCCAACACTTCCAGAATTTTGCCCCCTTTCACTACACTATGGGAACTTCTTTGCCTCTTTGCAAATTCCTATGAATGAATCATACTGTTCGGGATCCAAATGACACATTGATTCCCATTTCCCTCGAAGCCCAAGCCCCTTCTCAACAAGTGGCCGAGAAGTTATATTTCTCCTGAAAAGTGGCAAACTTTCCGAGGCCCGACCAGACCAGACCCAGACCCGGTGCCTGAAAGATTCCCGTGTGTGTGCCTGAGTGCCTGAGCAAATGACAAAGACAGATTTTCAGATGACAGACGGGATTTCCACGTTGGAGGCGATAACCTTAACACCGATGCCTTCCCAACTCATGGTACAGCACGCTCACGACGCTTTGTCATGATGTTCATCCCGTTTACCGTCGCCTCTTATGGAGCTATTCCAGATCAACTCTTCCACCAAGTGATGCATTTCAACCCATCAAAATCTCCGTTTAAATCTTTGTCAGAGGAGATTTTCCCCCAAAGCAACATCCCCAAACCAGCGGTCGGCAGCGCGCTCGTTTCAACTTTTATGCAGCCCTCTTGCATCTTGCATACAACTCCCACATCCCAAGCATATCCTACATAACAGTAGTTCTAGCGGTGAGTCTTCTCGGTCGGCATCCTCCCCGGCAACCACCAGGTTTGTTTTATCTTTTTATTCCCTCAATAAAACTCGATGCAACAGAGAGAGAGGGTCCTTTCCAGATTTTTTTTTTGTATTTTTCCTTCTCTTGGTTTGCACAAGACTCATCTCTCCCTTCCCTTCAAATCCCGAGAAATGTACCCGGTCCTTAGCCCTCAGTTCTCTCATCCAATGCACCCCAACCAAGTAAAAAGCGAGGCGATGAACGACAGCAGAAAAGCAAACGACGAATCAGCCTCGACCGCATAACATAACAGATACATACATAAGCAAGCAAGCAAAGCAGCAGAGCAAGCAACTACGCAAGCAATATTTGATATCTTGTCCTGTCCCTGTGGGCTGGGCTGGGCTGAGCTGCTTGGTCTTGGGGGGTTTGGGTTCGTTAACCTGCCAGCACCACCATCACCAGCCATGCCACCACATATCCACCTCCTTTTCCTGTCTGTCCAGTGACGCATACAGAAGAACCCAAAGCTAGATCGCATTCTCCTAAAATCAGATGCCCATCGAACAACACCCAACCCAGTGATCACGAGCAGAGCTAGCCAGAAGAAAAATAATTCTTCAGCAGCCAGCGTGTGGTTTCTTGTTGGCTTACAGCTCAAAACTCCACGTCTGCGGGGCAAATGACATGGTAGCTGTATGGCGCATCCATAGCTTCATTGAAACCAAAACCAAGCCCACCCCGCCGCCTTATCCTATGGCATGTCCTTTGTTGTCTAAAAGAGGCCCGTGAGAGCCTGACTTCAACTTTGGGTCTAAAACCCAGATATCGCGGTGTTCTTGATAGGTGATCTCCCACTCTCCCATAACTTTCAACTGCCGCTATCAACCTTCCTCGTCGACACGAAACGGGGCTGTCGGTTGACTTGTCACATCTTTCTTTCCCCTGCTCTCAGAAAGCAGAAAAGTCCCCAAAAGAACCCATCGATATCAGAAAAAAACTGCATCTTGTGTGCTTCGGAGAAGCCATCAGAGTTAGGCCAGTCAGTGGTAGTGAGTAAGTAAGTACCTAGTGCGCCAGCGCATCGTGCCTTCTTGGCTTGACTGGATGCGAGGCAACTTGGCTGCAGGTCTGTGGGCTCCTCTCTCACCAACCAATTGCTCCTCTTCCATGGAGAATGCCCTGCAGTGAAAATGCGAAAAGACGAGCCGTCACAAAAACTGAATGCCCGAACCTGCCGGTTCCCAGCCCGTTACCACTCACTCAGCAGGCGACCCCCCACCGTGTGTGAGGCAAGACAACCGGCATGAAGCAGTGATAGGGAACCCCCTCCCCTCCTTTCGTGTTGCTTGGATTGACGAACCAGAAGCTAAGCGGTGCTACTAAGCAGGTCTTCAGCCAATTGGTTCCGGTCAAAAATTTTTGTCCCTCGTTACAGCCAGAGAGGAGATCAAAAAGGACTTGGGGAATTCGGCGCCAGTCGCGCAAACCCGTATCTATTAGCCGTGCTGGTAGATGTGCCTTGTTAGGATTGGACAGCAAACCTGCCGCGCAAAGGCAAGGTCCCGCCGGTACGTGTGATCGCTGCGGTTTTATCAAGCAAAAATCGACGTTAGTAGTCAAGTCTGCTGAGACGCTTCATCAACCATTCTCCGCTCATCTCGTGCTCGTTTCTTGCTGGGCGCGGGGGGTTGAATCTGTAGTGTACCGATATACATCCGTACCTCCTGTTGTTGACAGCCAACCATGGCCGGTCTTCCAAAGAGGCCATCATGAAAGCAGGTACGGGGCGCTGGCCTCAAAGGACCCGATAGGCGGTGAGTGTGTGCATACATATCTCCCTCTCGTGCCTCCCTCACACCGCGAGGTTCTGCTCACCTCCATACATACACCACTCACGACTTGGACCTCACCCATACCACCCACCCTCTCGCCATCGGGAGTTCGCAGTCGAAGACACCACTCGGGGCAGGCCGGCCAAGGAAAGGGCCAAGCAGATGCTGATGACGCGAGTTGGAGGGCCGCTTCTGACCATCCGATCCAGAGCCAGTGCCCCTCACTGGATGGTTGTCGCCAAACTGACACCTACCCACGCTTCGGCCAATCGAGATGTGTGTGGTGTGCTATCAAAACACAACGAGACCCCAGTGGGAGGCGCCTTGGCTACCAATCATGACCCCTGAAAATCCGGAATCTGCAGATGGCAGCGGCATTCCCAGTGGGCCGTTTCGGTGGTCGCGGGGGGAGCGCCAGTCGATCGGACACTGCGGCTTGGAGAGAGGTTTTGATGCCTGAGCTATGAGGCTTGACAGGATTCCGTCCTGAGCTGTCATGTGTGGATGAACATATCAAGATTCGCCCAGATCCTGCTTTTTTTTTTGCACAGCAATGCGGTCATAGGTGTAACACTCTAAGCACTGATATCCCTCCCAACAATGTCATCTGCTGTGTTTCGGCCTGCCCAGTGTCCCGGAGAGGTACATACGAGGTAGATCTGGTTCCCCAAAGAGAGAAACTGTCTCTTCCGGTGGTCGCTTTTGAGACTTGTTGGAGCTTCTGCAGCGCTCAGGAGACCGACAGCTCCTGTGACGAGTCAGCATGGGGAAGTGTGAACTTACCCCGCCAAGCCCGCGCGACTTTACCCCTCCCTCCTCCCCATACCCATGCCCGCTCTTTTGACCAAGCAAAACACCCTTGTTAGGTAAGGACCTTAACTTCAGGGAGCTGACACCGAATAAACCTCGACGCGGGTGAGATCCCTTACCGAAAGACTTTGTGTCACCCCAATGGTGAGAGCATAGTCCGGTACGGGAAGCACGGAACGGTCAGACTGACTGCTAATGGAGCGTCGATATGCCGTGCGTCCGTTGACCTCATGGCGGTGAGAACCAACCATGAGTTCGATATTTGCTGCCAATTGTGATGTTGATGGGCAGGCTGTGCACTGCACATCTGTCAGCAGCCTCCCAGCTCAGCATTTCTGGTATCCTCGTGCACAATGCGTCTTGGTCTGGTTCCCGAGGCACATGTGCACCATAGCGTTCTTGGAAAGCCCCATTGGACTGCAATGGTCCCCCACGACAAATAACGCAACTATCGTGCAGGAGCTGGAGCATCAGACGTTAATGCTCTCCGCGGCCTCATCCCCACCATCTGACCACTGTTGTCATGGCGAGCACTGGATGACTGGTCCCAAAAAGATGCAGAAGCGCTCGTCTAAGTGCCACATGGGACAGCTCGCGGTCTTGTGCCCCTCCAGACTCCTGCGGCTCTCGCTTTCTTTCCGATTAGCACCGCCGTTGCTTCTCCCTCTGCAGTATGTTTCTCCGCAATTGGCAAAGAAGAGAGAGCACGTAGCCGAGACCGCAGCTGGCCTTGGCCAGCGCTTAGTGGCTCTTGTACCTGCACTCGTGAGCCTCTGAGCTCGTGACCTGCCGACAACCTCAAGCCTGGATCTCACGAGGCAGTGACGGCTGCAAGCTGGGGTAAAAGCGGAAACGCTATGCGGGCCGTTGCTGACGGAGATGTCTGATGTTCAGCCCGCTTGTGAATTCTGGGGTCAGGCTGCGGATCCCCGGGTTCGAGGCATGTGCCACGCTCAAGGAGACGTTGATCTTAGCAAGCCAGTTCGCCTGCTGAGGCTTGCCTATGTCTGGCCTCTCAGATATCGGAACATAGCCGGGTCGAAGAGCAACGAACAAGACTCCACTTGAGAACTACTCCATTCATTCCTTGTACGGAGTAGAAGGAGATGAGTCTGACCGAGCCCTGCCTCGCTCGGTCAACAGCTTGCAAAACGTCACAGTTGGTAAAAAACATACCAAAACGTCACATGAGACGTTGCCTATTTGGATATATGCACGTACGCTCGTCGACGTGGTTTCAGCTGTGAATGTGTCCCAGTCGTTCAGTGACAACTATCGTAGCTTCGTCATGATGTCGAGGTTGACATCTTCCTCCATGCTTCCAAAGTCCACATATGGGCTGGACTATGGAGATGTTGTCCCAAGCATGCCACGTTGAGCACACTTGGTTCTGTGGGGAGCAACGGCAGGATCCTGGACGGGCAAGACGGTAGCGTATCGGATTCATAACCATGCGGTTGTTGGTTCATAGAGCGGGCCGAGCAGCTTGTTGGGTGGAGCAACAAGTGTCGGATCGAGTCTGTATTGATCTTCGGTGATGCTCCATCATGGTGGCCGTAGTCGGCGTTTCAACGGGTCCCAAGCCAGCTGTCTGTCGATGAGACCACACGTAGCTACCCAAATAGTCACGGAGAGGGATCTCTCAAGGAATGGAATCCGCTCTATTCGCCGTAGGCTGGCAGTATGCCGAGTCCTGGAACTACGTCCATACAGGCAGATCCGCATCAACGACAATTGGCTTGTTGTATCTCCTGCCACCCGTGTGAGGCCAGTTCGTTGCCACGATAGCACAGTTGACTACGCAAGTCTCGCGTCGACCCGTGCGACTGGAGTTCAACTCTCGGCTTTTGGACGTTAGAGGCTGGACGTCATCCAAGGTGGGGAGCCCGGGGCCCAGCCCAGGACCAGGACCAAGGCCACGGGGCTGACCATCCGAGACCCGACACTCGGGATCCTGTCGGGATGATGGGGTGCATGAGACAGACGGTGCTCGGAGCAGACCATCACGCGGGCTGCCTCCTGATACATTCGTGGTAGTTTCGGCCGAGTTGCCAAAGGCAAGGGCGCGGTTGCCTCCACGAGGGGTCAAATCAACCAGACTGAGCTTGGCTGACTGAATATCTGGGTGGGGGTCATCCCAGTATTCCACGCCGGCTTCATGATATTGCTCGTTGGCAAATTCATCCCTTTCCGGCTCCCATCGCACTCGCTGAGCACCCCTTCCCGGATGGACATGGCCACAAACATGAAGTCTTGGGCGGACTGTCGAGAGTCGTTTCTTCAAAAATTGACATCCAAGCGTGGCATCGCAGTTGCCTCGTGGTGGTGTATGTGTGACCAGGATATCGGTATCAAGTGGGATCTCTGACCAAAGGTTTACTGCTTCTTGGGAGACGAGGTCTGTAGATGTTTGCGTTCCCGAAGGATCTGGCTCCACGCCGTTGCCATCGTATCCGAATGCCCACAGACCGTTCTTGGGACTGTAGGGAGAGCCAAAGACATTGAATTCGGTTCTTGGTCCTTTGGGGTTGGTAAGCCGGATTCTCGTGGAGCTATGACACAGGTATGTGATGGTAGGGCTCGATGTCAGAAGCTTGAGACACTCAGCCGTGTTCTGGGGTTTCTTGTTGTGGAAGCTTTGCCCATGATCTTGATAGAAGCCTTGATCCAGTGTTATATCATGGTTTCCTGACAGAATCAGCCTTGATGCAAGAGAAATGCAGTCGTCGTGGCTGTCAATTCTCACCGGCAATCACAATCTTGACTTCAAAGTCGACCTTTTCTAACCACTGCACTGTTTTGGAAAGCTAGAAGGCACCGTTAGCAAACCATAAATGGTGCCCTTGAAGATTCAACAAAAGGAACGGTCTCGCTACCTCTGAATAGCTACCCTGGTTCGTCAAGTCGCCAGCATGAATCAGCACGTCACCTTTCGGTAGCTTGACAGTTGAATTATGAGTATCGCTGATACAAACAATTCGAGTACGCCTAGTTTGGCTGGGCAAAGACTGAGACGATGCCATGATATTGTTTGCTCTGTGCGGATGTGGCCAAGCAGGGCGAGGCTGCTTGTATGAACCTGGAAGCCGGGGTCAAGTGACAGAAAGAGAGAGCAATCAATGAAGTTGAATCTCGCTTGCGAATAAAGTTTGGATTGATAGGCAAGGCAAGAGCTTTTCAACGCTCCCATGTACCGTTTAACCAGCAAGAATGGCAAATTCGATGATTCTGAAAATGGCATGAAAGACAATCAATCACATGATGTTGAAGCTGTCGAGAACAAGGCAAAAAGGAACGGCGATGCTTGACTTGGCGGACATTACCGTCCAAGTCGAGCCCCAAGACGAGAAATGAATGAGTGAAAGAGGCAATCGGCACGGACCATGGGTGGAATTGACCAATGGCATCACGAAAGAAGATTAATGAGACTCCTTTTCGCTTGGGACCCTTCTCCAGCAAATGCGACTTTGGGACGAGTTTACCCCTGGATGGCCCAAGGGAATGGCAGTGCCTAGAGGAAATTGTCAATTGATACTTGCACCACGCGACGGACGGTCCATGTTGTTAATGTTCGTTTGACAGTTCACGTCAACGTCAACCCGTCAGTTTGTTGATGCCGCTGGGCCCAAGGCTGCTTGTGGATTGGTTCCATGCCCCTCTTTTTTTGTCTTTGGAGCGCATCGCATCCGTCCATTCTCTTGTTTCCACTCGGGCACATTGCTCGCTCCGCTGCTTTAATCAGACGACGACAACTATCGAACACTGACCCCGTTGATCTGTCAAAGGTAGCCACGCCGACGTTGAATAGGAACAGGGCCAAGGGGGGAGAATCCAAATTCCGAGACCCGCAGACGCCAGGCTCCTCAAAAAAGTTTAGGTCCCGGTAGCTCGTTTCGTCAAAGGTTGAAGTGAGTGGTGCTCCGTGGAAGGCAGCCCAGGACACCCACGACAAATCACACAACACCAAGGCCATCTTCCAAGCAACCACACGACCTCCGCATCGTCTGCCTGCGCTTCCGCCCTTTTCCTTTGTCACGACCATCACGCGCGAATATTACCGCCGACCGCGCCGATTGAATCGATCAACCCGATCCGCGACGACAGCATCTAGAACATCGGAAACAGCCGCATGAGGAGTTCCGATCTGCGCTGCACTTGACGCTGTTGGCCAAGTTGGAGAGGCTGGGTGGCGCGGTGATACACTCGGCGCCCATTACACCCGCGCCGGCAGCTGTCAAGTGCTCTCTTCAACGGCCTACACAATCTACACTTTTCTTTCTGTTTCCGGATCAAAAAAAGATAGGCCCAGTTTTTGGCCCGGTGGTTTGGGTTCGCTGCCGCACCTGCCCCGTAATTTCCTGCCGAACAGTCGACGACTGGTTTGTCGCCGTCGCCAACCGTCAGTTGAGTTGTCTTTGTCGGTGACAAATATGGCGGCAGTGTCGCAGACGACGACGGCATTCTCACCTTCTGCGGCCCATGACACTGGCTATTCGTGGGACCTTGCTGTGCCGGACGAAGCAGAGGTAAGAACAAAACCATCGACAGCATTTTCAAGCGGAGACGTGCCTTCCACGTGCCTTCCTCCCAACTTCCCTGTCCCCTGCCTCCCTTACCTTGAGGGAAAGCGCTCTTTTCTAACACTCGCGTCCCGCTACAGAACGACCTTCACGACGGCAAGCGGCTTGTACATGACGAAAACGCCTACTCATCCCACCGACAGCCACTGGCCCCTCAGAATGGTAATTCTACTCTGCACTCTACCGCCACGGGCCTAGACTCGATTTCGCGAAAGTACGCCAACGGAGACGCTGGTTCCGATATGACTGCTTATGCCACCCAAAACCACCACAAGCAATCGAAACCCCGGAGTATTCAGGACCACCCCAGCTCTCTGGAGAGCACGGAAGCATTTGATAGCGACACGAGAGGGAATGGATCCGATGGTTTGCAGAGAACGGGGCCGAGGGACAGCACGCCGCCGATAGGACAAGAGGACAATTCGAAATGGATTCATCGGGACAAGTTGGCTCGGATTGAAAGTGAAGAGTTGCAAGCTGCTGGTATCTTTTTGCCACGCCAAAGGGACAGGGCAAGGTCGAAGAGTCAAAACAGGACACGGAGGGATCAGAGTCAGGACAAGCTGAACGGTTCGGGGAGGTCGATTGGTGGTACGGATAATGCCTCGAGATCTAGGAAAAACTCGGGGGCAACGACGACAGAACCCAAGACTCCAGATCTCAACGCGATTCCTAGTTGGGATCTTAGACGTCCAGAGGAAATTGTGGAAGAGGGTGACGGATATTGGGTGTCGACGGGTAGCGGCAAAAACACTTCGAAAATCCCCGTGGCAAAGGTCAGCCCGGTGCCCATTCCCAGCGAGCATATCGAACGAGACACTCTCTTGGCCAGGAAACGTGACGGTAGTCCCGGCGAGGACTCGATATCTTACTCCAGAACCCGAGGCAGAAGCGGTAGTAACGCAACCTCGCTTGGCAAACTGACACCGAGCGAGGGGACTGCTCAATCCACTAGCCAACCGAACAAGAGAACCGATCCATCTCCCAAGAAGCCTGCCGGGATTAGAAAACCAAAGGCTGCGAATGGGGCTGCCGGACGTCCCAAGACAAGAGGTGGGCCTAGTAAGGACTCGACTAGTAGCGGGACACGGCCATCCACGAGGTCTGCTGAGAGGGAGTTTTCCAGCAGTAGCAAGCCAATGGAAGGAGAACCACCCTGGATGATCTCTGCGTACCGGCCTGATCCTCGCTTGCCTCCGGACCAACAACTCTTGCCAACCGTAGCCAAGCGGCTAGCTCAAGAGAGGATGGAACGAGAGGGCAAGTTTGGAAATGTCTACGACAGAGAGTTTAGGCCACTCACCGACGAAGGGTTCTTGAAACCTCCAGAGAACATCGCGGGACAAGAGGAAAGGGATCCTGAAAAGGAAGCGCAGGATGAGGAGCAGGGTGACTGGCCGTTAAGGCCAGAAGTGAGGAGCCCTACGCTTGGAGGAAGAGCGAGCTCATATTCAACAATGCCCAAGATCTCAGACAAACCAACCATGAGTCCTCTACCAAGCCCACGGACGCCAGGACCACAACCACAGACCCAGCTTCAGCCGTCGTCGACAGTCAAGGTACCGGAACCCCCTGAGGAGGATCCAGCACCAAAGAAGGGTGGTTGCGGCTGTTGCATTGTCATGTAGCAGTCATGGCAGTCTCAAACAATCCACCATATGGCTCACTCTACAGACCGTCTCTGTGGCTGCACCTTTTGGTATCACTTCTTCCAGTCCCTACCACCACCATCAGGCATTATCACCATCCTCTATTCGACACACTTGTTCCGCGAGAAGCCAGGGCCGACTAATGACGAGACGATTTTTGTTTTGCTTCAGGCGCATTCAGCAGTTGTATTTATCTATCAGGTGTTACCGTTCACCGCTGCTTGTTATTATTTTTTGTTGTTGTTGGCCTCTCTCGTCTGTTTTCTTTTGTCTTTCACAGCTCTTCATTTTTCGCACACACATCGACAACGAAGCACCGCCACACACACGCAGACAACTCTCGCATACTCACAATCATCCGACCGAATCTCTTTTTTATTATCACACACAAGGCGAAATGTTGTGGGGAAGGCAGGGAAGGGGGTGGGGGGAGGAAATACTGTCTTTGCAGAGATACTACACACACTCTGACTGTTGGTTCTTTCTTCGTTGCTCTTTTCTCTCTCATGGCCATGTTTTTGTTTCAAATATTTTGAGAGAAAACCTGGTTGCTAGGGGAGTAGGAATTAATGACATGAAAAGAATCAAGCTCAAGAGAAAGGAGGAGATCAAGTTTTCTTCTCGGGTCAAACAGATTTCCGCTCACAAGATATCTCTCTCACACACAGTCTCTTGACACAGACACAATGCCGTGGCCAGGTGCCGGCTGCTTGCTCTCTCTCTCACTCTCTCTCGCTCTCAAAATCATAGAAACACTTTTTAATCAGGAATAAATAGGGAAGGGAACCAATAATTCACGCTCCAACTCTAAATCTGTTGATGCGTTTCTACTTGTGAAAATGTCAACGTAAATCACACCGCGACTTATTGGTATTTCCTTGTTTAAAGACCAAAGGCCTGGAGCTTTCCTCTCAGTATTCAAGTGAATTCATGATGATCAGGCAAAGAAGCTGTTGTGACAAAGACGGCACGCGTTCCACTGCGTGTCGTCTTCAGACTTCGATCCATCGTGACTGCAATGATCAATGAGCAGGGAAGATTCACCAGTGGCACAACCTTTTTTCTACGTCTACAACGCGCTATATCATCACACTTGAAGCTTAGAAGACCCAAGCGAGGGTGGTACTCTCTCACCTACTCCTTTTCCAAAGAAGTTTTACTAAGCAGTCACAACACAAGGCAGGCTTGGCAACTGCGATACCCAGGATCCCTTGTTACGTGCTATTCGGGTTTTCCGGGCTTGTCTCGTCACCGAGAAGGGCGCGAGCTTCAGCCCTGGTGTTGAGGCATTCACTTGAAGGCTTGGAACAATGTCGTAAAGAGCCCCAGACCCAGCTGTTGCTTACTGGTGTGTTAGTAGTTTATGAGTCAGTAGATTAGCCAAGCTCGTTATGACAGCTCATGAGGTGATGTGTGGGATTAATCTGTTCCACGTGGAACAATCTACAATTCCACATATATCTACTGACTACTTGTGTAGCAGTTGTGAAGTCTTGGGGGTTGTGCCAAGCAGACTCTGACTAAAAACGGTGAACAGGTGGACCAGATGTTACTACATCAGATGTTAGATCTGTGCCTTTCACTCCCTCCATGTGGGATGCCATTGACGAAGCGAAGCTTACGAAAGCTACACTCTACCAGTTGAAGTCCTGACCACGTTTCTGGATCATTCTAGCCAAGCCATATGTAACTAGGGGGGTGGTGAGCTGGTTGAGGTCATAAGGGTATAAAGAATCCGAAGCTTCACTCTCCACGTGGGATAACGGTGGATGGGCACGGAGTTAAGCCAGTCTATGTGTCTACCAGTCAATATGAGTTCAGTCTACCCAAGCTCGCTGCTCTTTACTGACAACATGGGTTCTAGAATCTAGATCAACCCCCCAACCCACAAAGTGGTCCGACTACTCGGGTCCATCACTCCTCCACGTGGAACAATGAACCAGTTCATCCTCCCTCAAGACCATCATCACCCTCATGTCCCTCTCGACCCAAGGATGCCAAAATCCTTTTTTCTTCCCCCAGATATCCACATCCCTCTTTCGTTCCTGACCCAACAGCCCGGGCCAGATCCCACCTCTCTTCCGAAAGCATCCAGTCGCACGTTACCTTTGCAACCGTGGCTTGAACTAAAAACCCTATCCCATCACGCATAATCAAAGAAATATTAATCAGTTCCGTCTGATATCCATCCCGCCCTGTTGTTGTCCCTGTCAAGTCCCGGCCCTGAAAAGTCCCAACGGAACGGTTGACAAATCAGACACACTCCCGTCCACGGGGAACTTGGTGGAGAACTTTTCTGAAAGCCAAAATCCGAACCCGACATTCTGGCACCATCCGTTCTTTGTCGAGTGGTGTCTTCAAGTTTAAGTTTCTTTAAACTCCCCTCTCCACATTCTTACGTACATGGACTCCGTGCGCATTGCAAAAAAACAAAAAAAACCCAAAAAAAAACCGGTTATAGGCCGGGTTTGTTTAAACCCGTCCCGTTGCTGCTTCAACTTGGATTGGTAAGAAACTTTGCTAATTCTCTCTGCCGGCGAAACTAAAAAAGAGCCTTTTGTCTTTGTCTGATGGCGCGAGAGCGAGAGGTCTTCTTACCAAATACTCGGTGATCTAATCTACCGACTGAGAGATGGCTTGTGGCCGGTCGGTTGGTCGCTAATGCCACGCCCACTTGTGCTTACAAGGATAGTTCAGATCAGGGGGAGATTCTACGATGCGAGTGTTGGGAGAACTTGAGGATCTTTGCCTGTTGTAAATATAAGTGAGCCGGGAGATTGACACGATTTGCAGGTGGCGAGACGAACCATAAGATTTGTTGTACGCCTGGTCGGATCGATATTGGGTCGGTCATCGACTATGTTTGTAAATTTAAGGCGGCAGGTGGAACCAACTGTGTTGGGATTGGTTACGGGATATAGTTTGAAAGTTCGATGTCGGTTCATTCCTCGATGGCCGTAGGTGGGTTTTATGTAGGTAGACACTCCATCAGATACAAACCGCGCGTGCGTCACACCCCATGATTCGATGTTGGCTGCCAGTTGGGGTGGTATGGACACTGTGGTGGCAGGCAGAGAAGCAGACATTGGTGTGTGTGTCGAGTGTCGAGAAGCACTGGGTCGGATCAGCCAGCCCGGTGGAAAGCCAAAAGTCAGAGAGGGGCAAAGGCATCGAGATGCAGCGGACGGACGGTGTTTTAAGCTTTTTGTTATTTATGTAGGTAAGCAGTCTTGGAGATCCTCCTCATCGAGATCTCTCCTGTTATCGATCTCGATGACACGCCAGCACGGCGAGGTCCTCGCCCCTGATTGATTGATTGATGGACACCAAACACGCGCCACACCTGCAAGCTATATCAGCCGAGCATGTCACCACGGCGAGGAGGGGCGATCGGAGGCCATGGTCAGCCATCGGGCATGGCATTTTGATGGTGAAGTATGGGCATTGGACAAAAGCGATCACATTGATGGCTTGCATGGTTGCGGAGGCTACCTTCCTGATACCCCGCTCCCCATCTTATCGTGGGGCATTATCAGAGTCACCATCACCACCGAATAGTTGACACACACAAGTAGGCTCCCATATCATATCATAAATTATGCCTTGAAAGATGGTCATTACGCTTTTAAAGATAGTTAATAGGCCTTTAAAGATGTTTGAAGACCTATTAATTTGCTTTTTGAAGTATGGCCTATAAAATAATATATGTTAACTCACTTTTACTGTGTCGATTAATTTGTGGGCAGGGTGTCAACCTGCCTTCACGCCCTCCAACGTCGCAAGCCTACCCAGTAGGGCCCTGCCAAGCTGAAGTAGGGTGTTAGTTCACAGTTGGAGAAAACTCGGGTGGATTCGAGAATCAGGAGAGTGAGAAAGGAAGTTTGTGTGACTGTGTGCGTGATTCTGTTTTGGATAGATCGATCGGTCTCGAACGCACAACCCAAGCTCTCTCAGTCTCCGCCAGACGGAAGGGCCGCAGGATTCCAGAACATTGACAACCTGGAAGGGCGGGCCCGTAAGGATACCGTAACAGGGTAGAAACAGGGCGGGAATTGACCGCGAGCTGGAGGGGTTGAACCCGATTTTGATGGAGCAGTTTCAAGGGCAAATTGTGTAGCCAAAACAAGAGCTGCGAGTGAGCAGGCATCGGCGAAATATGGCATTTCCAAAGAAGTCGATAGGGAAATCGTGGAAATGCTGTAATAATGATGCTCTGCCTTGAATTTGCGAATTCGTGGTGGGCAAGCTGGCTTTCAGCCCAACCAGCTTCTTTCGAGTGGGTCTGAATCTTGAAACGGTCCGCATCTGGCGGGGATTAAGGTTGGCCAGGGGCAGCGACCCCGCTCAAGACGCAAGCCTTTTTGGTGGCAGAAAACGGAAAACGCACAAACATTTGTGAAGAGACAATGCTTTCTTGTATCGGGGTCCTAAATTGCCTCTGTTTGAACTGTTGTTTGAGGAAGGGAGTCATCCTCAGATGCATTCTCATTCCGATGTATTAGGTGTAGCAGATACTGCTTGCGTGTGTTGCTGCGAATGGCCACCATCAGTGGTCAGGAGCTTTTCTGCCAACAGGACGACGGGAGCAGTATCAAAGAAGACGTCCGTGAGAGCTGGAGATGAGTGGAGATAAGAGAAAATGGTGAATGTTTCAGGTTCCTGATGTTTAATTGACGGTACAATACACAGTACAAACGGCGACCTCGGACAAGTCGGCATCAAACCTGGCCGAGAAAAAGAGGGTAGAATATTTTCGGAGGTTCGCCATTGTTCTAAGCAGAGCCGAACACCGGGTGAGGGCCGCACCACGCATGAAGCTTCATTCTTTTAACTGGATTTTCTCTTGGCACAGAGGTTTCAACAGCCCCAACCCTCACAATGTGTCGTGAATTTGGTAATTTTCCACTTGGCTGCTGGGGATTAGGTAACCGGAGCGACCTCAGGCACAGCACGTGAGAGGTTGTTTTTCTAACACTGCGCTGCCAGTGGCAGGCGACCTTCCAGCGTGGATCCTGCCGCTGCGTTCAAGGGCAAGCCGCGTGTCTGGGCAGTGCGATCGGGCTTTGAAAGAGAGATCATGGTCTGGATTGGCAGGTAATATGCACGAACCCGAGTCCAGACCAGAGCAGAGCACGCAATCCTTCGACTGGACAACACCGGACATCCTGCTCTGACACCTGCGGATGGCTCTTTGTGGCGAGCGGAAATAAAGACTCCGGCAGCAACACTTCCATAACGTTTGGTTGATGCAGACCGTCAAACCTTCAAACGGCGCCGCTGCTTGCACCGAGAGATAAGAGACGGACGGACGAAACTTGAGCATGCCCAGCTTCAGCCTCGGGCCATTGATTCACTGTTCATTTGTCTGCTGCAGCATATGGGTCATACGTGTGTCCACGAAAGTAGGACTTTTTGGTAGGACAAACCCGCTGATCAAGAAACCATTCATGTAACGGGGCGTAAGTTTAAGCCAAGAGCCAAGAGCAGGGCGTTCTGTGTGACTTACAGCGGGCTACCCGGTGTCGCTGTAGCGTAGCCAGAAACGCACACCCCCTCCCCCTGCTCCCGTCCCTGGCAAGCTTGAGCTTTTCTCCCACACCCCAAGTCCAGGCTCCTGTTGGTTGGACCCAGCCAGACGAATAAAGTCTTGGTCTGGCCCAGTCCATCCCTTTTACCCACATCTCGCTCTCACTCTCCAACATCATAAAGGCACACACACTCCCCTCACCAACTCTCCTCCTCACCCCAAGGATACCAAAAATAAACATTCAACGCTGGCCTCAACCCAAGTCAGTTTCTTATCCGATGGTCGAGCTCCTCTCTGGTCTAGCTCCTCTCTGGTCTCGACAAACAACAGCCATTTAATCGCCGCTACTACGAACGACTCAGACACTATGTCGTCTCACCGTCCAAAGGCACCATACAGCTCCCTCTCTGGCTCCTCTTCATCATCCTACTCCGCTTCGGATTCAGACCTCTCCAGCTCCAGCTCACGATCCTCAGTACGACACAGCATGGATTCCACACAGCGCCCCGTACAGGTCTCCGTCATCCGCTGCTTGCGATGTGCGCGTGCCGAAGAGTTGACCAGCACCGACGACCCCAACAGCTCTGGAATGGTCCAAATCGGTACCAACATCTACTATTGCAACAGATGCGCCAAGATGGTTGGCTACACGTGAACTACAAACCTCTAGAAGCGACATGCCAAAAAAAACCTCACGGACTCGCTTTGCTCGTCAACGCCGACATCTTCCGCCAGACGCAGGCAGAAGCTGAGATGTGAGAGTTTTTGATCACATCTCAAGAGTTCTGTCAGCGCACCGGCAATGCCGGGCTGGTGGTTCCTCTTCGGCTCGGGTTTACACCAGCAACGCTCATATATCGAAGCGACAGCCTTGCTCTCAGCCGCCAATTCTCACCAATCATGGCCTGCACAAACCACCATATACGGGCAGTCCTGGCCAAATCGATGCCCTTCGTTGCAGGCCACGAAGAGCTCGTCTAATAATTCGCCAACCAACAGCTACACGGCACATTATCGATCTTGCTCGCACATTTCCATGTTTGTTTTTCAGGGTCTCGACCAGCAAGACCCTGAGATCCAGATCGACATAACCCGTCCTTTGCTGCCAGGTTCAGGACAGCCCCATGGGCGCGCAACTCTTGTCAATTCTCCAAATCAACACAAAGCGACAGCTGTGTTGCAAGGTGTTCATCATTGTGCAGCAAGCTGCAGCGGGAGGTCACGACGTGATTGGCCAGTCGCTTGCGTGTCATTCAGAAAACGGCTTTTCCACCAATGGTCAGGCTGCAAAACGCACCCCTGTCTATCGCCAAGCGAAGCTCTGACGTAGATGTGCTCCAGCCTTCGCGCCGGCTGAAGTCGTCATCAGGAGGGGGCAGATGCAACCGACACCCGCTTTCATGCAATCTATTGAGGGCTTTTTACCCTTTTTCATACTACTTCATTTTTTCTGGATTATTCACCGAGCTTATCATCATCATCATCATCGAGCGCGGCGTTTGGGTTTCTTCTTGGGTGGAAACGGATGGGAAATCGGGATATGGGAATTCTGGAATCATGGCATCATGGGAGGGTTATTTGGTCAATCAAAAGGGAAGGGAATGTTACACGCATGGGTGGATAATTATCCTAGGATTTAAGAGATACCCACAGAGAATATTCAGGGTTTCTTTACGAGATCGAGATCATGAATATACACAACAAAGATACTCAACTCGCTGCTATTCCTGAGAGCTGCTTCCTGTGAATGTTAATGGTTCTAGCTGTACAATGCGTGGTGTGGTCGGGTATGGAGATAGCCCCCGCGGCCTAAGTAGCACAGAAAACCAGGGCAGGTCCCGCACCGAGTGCAGCACGGGGCGGGCTACCGAGACGAGCAAGTGAGAAGAGAGGTTGCTGTGCCAGTTGTTCTGTTGTAACGGCTTCATTGGACACACACTTGCAGATGTTTAAGACCCCAAGTCTCATCCAGTGGAATAAGCCGCTGCAGGAAGAGCTTACTTCCCTGCTTTTGAAACTGTTGCAGCTTGCAGCTTTCAACAGCTCAACCAGCCCCTCCTGTATGCACACAGCCAGTTCTATCATTGGAAACCACAAAAATTCTCCGCGGTGCAGACACGAGTTACAATGCATGTCGCCTGGAGCTATGAAGAGGAGATGATCAACAACCATATCATCAACAGTGCCAAATCACCCACTGACTGACAGTGACATATGCCTGATAGACAATCCTCGATAGTGTCAAGACTCTTTAGATGGCTAAAAGACAAACATCTTCGGCACTTGATACCCACATTTGCAGCAAAGAGCGAGACAACATTCTCGGCTCGCTTGGCAGGGACAGCTTGGTCCATAACTCGTCGACGATGACGTCCATCGGGATTCACGGAAGAGCCCATCCAACAACACAAGCGGGACCAGCTCCGGCAACAGGAGCCAACAGAAAAGGGTCTTCTTCTGCTCACCTTCGGAGATTATCTCAACCCTGCGTCAGTTGAGCTATTATCCTCCCACTGCACATACCCGTCACTCCGAAACAACACAGGGTCCTGCTCCTGGTGGAACTCTTGTTCCCCAACGACGATAATGACATATCACCGACTCCGACCGACCCACCCGCTGCATATGACCTCATGCTGCGTTTTCCGGCCCTTACGCACCTTGTCAACCATGCATCGCACGTTGCTGTGAGGTAGATAGATGTACGACACACAGCCGGCACCTCCAATAGGCGCAGGATTCCGGGAGGCTCTCCGAGAACAATAAGGTGACTCGCGCCTGCGATTCCTTGTGAAGATCACATTGAACAACCGCCCCCCTCCCCGCTCTCGACATGATTTTGCGGAGACAAGGAACCACAACGCGTCAGGCTGATATCGGGGTTTGCTGCAACACAACACAAACCCCTGGTGCCCAAGTATTGATGAAATGGTATATCCGCTCGGAGTGAAAGGGGAGTCCTGTAGCCAAATGACGCAGCCATGGTCTCTGTTTCTTTATATCTGAAGGCATCGTCACTTTTTTCTCTTTCCCTAGTGTACCGATGACATAGCGATGATGATGGCATCAAAACTAACCCCAATCCAGAACCAGCCCAAGCCTAACCCACAACCTCACGTGACAGCACATATTACACACTCCAATTTCGCGGAAAGGGAGCTTATCAAGAACACAGAGACTCACGGATCTAATTCCGCCATCTTTTTCTTCTCCCTCCCATGGTTGAATAAAACCCCCCCCTCCCGCTCCCGGGCACCTCGCCAAGCAGTCACCGAAAGGAAACAAAAGAAACAGAACGTGACATGTTTGGCCGGTTCGGACCGATCTCACACTTTGATGTCCGATCTGGGAATACCATCATTTTTTTGCCTTGTCTGGATGTCTGCCGTGACAACTGCCTGATGACAGCCGTTGAGAGTGCGGGGGAGGAGTGAAGTGAGAGGAACAAGCTTTTTGGCAAGTTGGCAGCAGGGGACAAGGTGGACAAGAAAGAAGGCCAGGGCGGAGCATTTTCTCCGCCCACTTTTCCTTTCCCAGTCAAGGCTCGATACCAGAGAGGGGAAGCATCGTGACCATTAATTCCAAGGGCGATTAATTTTGTGAATGAAAAGGAAAGATGAAGTTTATGTAAAATCGAAACCACAAGAATATTCCTGTCTTGTTGGATCAGCGGGGAGAATCAACCCCAACCCTGGGATGATCCGTAGCCAAGAGGTTCTGGAACCTTTTTGCTCTCCCAAAAAATTATTTGAAGTTCTGGACTCGACACAACTCGGCGCTACGTTTGCGAAAAATATGAATAAAAGGCGAGGGAGATAAAGCATCACGGGGAATCACGGGCAGTTTAGGATGTCGTCTGACAATCAGTTCATCAAGAAGCAAAAGAACAAATAGACCAGAATATTATTTCGCTCGCCAAAAAAGAAAAACAGGCTTTTATTTACCTTTTGGACCTGCATTGCATGGAGAACAGACAAGACCCAAGCACCTTACCTCTTCGGCCCCTCGGGATGCACCTCTCTGGTTTTAAAACGGGCTGGCTGGACGGGCAGCAGTTTTTGAGGCTTTCCATCCTTCCCGTTCCAGGAACGGAAGGGATCTACGGTGTTTTTTTTTTTGGTGATGCATTTATTGAAGTCCTTCCCCCGGGTTGTGAATAACTAACTGCATGAAACGGGAATGGTTCCTTTGTGTGAGGTGCGGGTCGGTGACAGGTAGGTAGTGTATGAGAATGGCAAACACACACACCCACACCCACACCCTCTTCTCGGTCTTCGGGGCTTGTTCATGGCTTTCACTGCCCCATGGACAGCTGTACTGTACCAGGCTCAGTCATGCTGCTACTACCTGCATCCTTCAGGTTATTACTACCCCAACAGTCAATGATGCATGCCTTCTCCTACCGCCGAAGGGGTGTATAGGTGGTGTTTTGTACTCTCGGCAACCTGCATTTATGACACGAGCATACCGCCTCACGGAAAGACCACACTACAGGCTCGGGGCAGACACGCCGACGTGTGGTGACATTTCCTTTGACGGGACACAAATATCTTGGTAACGGATACAGTCGGGTAGTACACCCCACGCTGTCTGGGAACGGAGTTAGGCTTCTAGACTTGTTGCGAGAGGGGCCTAGAACGTCTCGCCGATCATTCTCAGGCACCAACCACAACAGGGGGTAGGGGTGGCAGGTTAGGGTTTAAAAAGGCTTTGATGCCTTATATGCTACACTACATTACACAAGACAGCACCAAACCTAGACTACTATATCCGCGGCCGAATACACCGCTGAAAGATCTAGATCTCTCAATGACGGGGTGGGTGCGTTATCTTTGTGTGTGTGAATGTAGGTTAGTCAATTTCCCGACGAGGTGACATTTGGGATGGTCACTTGATGAGAATGGACGGACGCCTTGGGATAACGTTCCATCTTCACCAGAAGAAAGCGAAAAAGATATCAGATCTGGATGGTCGGTGGTGTGTCACCTTCTCGATTGGATGAGTTCCAAGTCTTGTGTTCAAGACAAAGGCAGAAAGAATAGGGGACCGAGACAATCAGAAAATAAGGGACTGAGACCCAACCACAGCCTGATTTGTTCGTATCCCGTCTGACAGAGGGGAACTGACTGTTGTATAACCTCAAACCTCACCGCCGACTTCTAGGTAAGTCATACATCATGTCGAAAATTACCAAGTGTTTCCTTCTTACAACGCCCATCCCTATCCTATCCTATCCTTACTCGTGATTTGTACAACCTCTCAACCCTCCATCTTCACATCGCCGTCCCCTTCCTTTTTCATCTTGCCCAGATTCTTCAACAAGTAACTCCTCTTGAAGTACTCATTAGGATGCACAATCGTCTCCAACTGCGCAGCCGTCATGATACCCTCGTCCTTTGCCCTCCTGAGCTCGTTCTTGTGAACGTATTCAAATACCCTAGTAGTCAAAAGAATGTCAGCAATCTAGACCACCCCTCGTACGAAATACAACAAGCAAATATGCAGGGTCCTTGTTTCACAACATGACCCAGTCCCCATCCCCATCTAGCCAAGACATCTGGACCTTCTAGACCTTCCCCCCCCCAAGGTCCAACGATGCAAACCAACACACAACATAAACAGATCCAGAACATACCTATTACAAGCCATATGAAACTTCTGCTTCTGCTTATCCTCCCTCACCCCCTGCAGCACCCCCTTATCACTAATCCCCACCCCCTCCAGCAGCGTCATCAAATTCTGCTCGTCAAAATGCCTGTACGGACACCCATGCGCCTCCCCGTTACCGGGAGCATGCTCCGTTAGGATCTTCTGACAACTGTACGGACTGTAGCCCCCGCTTCTCCTGTTGGAGTCACCGCCTACATCACCGTAGACGTGACGGACGTTGTACCGGTATCCCTTGTTGAACTCGTCGTCGGTCATCTTGTTGAAGGAGGACCGCCAGAAGACAAGACATTCCTCGAGGTTTAGACCGATGCCCTTGAGGAAGAGGGTGTATTGCAGGCGGCCAAAGTGACGGAGCTTGGAGTCGCGGCGGAGGGTGCGGTGGAGGTGGGCCATGCACATGGGGAAGTGTTGGGAGAGGTTGTCGATGTTGCGGGCGGAGATCTCGGCGCCTTCGATGGCCGAGGAGGAGTTGGTGTAGACTGAGTCCGGGGCGATGAAGTTTTTGGAGAGGTGGTTCAGGATAGGGGTGAGGCGATCATCTTCGTCGAGGCGGGGGAGGGCGCGGGCTGTGAGCTGGGGAGAGTTAACTTAGGTATATGAGGGGGGGTTGGGAAAAGGGGTGTTTACCTCCAACGACTTCTCCAGACGGGCGTTAAACTCCGTCATGACCATACTCTGCTGCTCCCTCGATGGGACATAGGCTTTCCCCCTTTTGACAAACACCTTTCTGTGCTCGATCAAATCAGGGACTCTTTCCCAGTCTACCTTTGACCACTCTTCATCCTGCACCGTCGGTTGCCCTCTCTTGCCGGAGAACCCAACTGTAGCTGCCAGCTCGGCGGCAAGTTCCGTTTTCTCTTCCTCCGAGACTGGTTCCCAATCAAGATTCAGCGTGCGCACAAAAGCGTTGCGCTCCTTCATGTCATCGCCCTGGAAGCGCAATCTGAAAAGCATCGATTCGACACGAGTAAACCGACGGCGCAAGTCCTCCGTTGAAGAGAACGCAAGACGAAGAATAAAATGGCTGTAGTGATCTTTTTGCCTCTGGGCGAACAGCTGGGAGTGGTTCGAGCTATTGTTATCAAGAGGGAGGTATTTCTTGAGTAGTGGTTCCATGTGCGCCGCTGTTTCCGCCGGTGTCTTGTTCCTGAACGAGCAAGCCTCGAGCTCGGCAAGAATCCTTAGTCTGTCGATAGCCCATTGTTCAAACTGCTCGAGAGTAATATCTGCTGTTGGAGGGGTGGTGTAGAAGTTGAGGCGGTGGGGGTATTGTTGCGGCTGGTAAGTTGCCTCGGCGAACTGCTTCTTGCGATGGTCGACGACATTGCGCCTCTTGGCGTCGATACGGTTCATTGTGGTTGATTGTACAGCGCAACTTCAAAACTGATTGCTCAAGAATCACGAGCGTATGTGTTTCGTGGAGTTGTTGACTGGACAGGTCGGCTGGCGCAAGGGTGCTGAGTTGAGTGGTGGACAATTATGGCGGGAGACGCGTCTCGACGCGTTAAGGGGATCCACCCGATTAAAAGATCTGGCGCCAATCAATCGGTCGTGTAAGTCAGCGCAAAGAACCCTAACCCTGTCCCTGAGCTGCTGGTTCGACTCGCTCCCAGATCACAACCACTCTGCTTTTTTGTTGACAGCTTCACTCTTCCGGGAGCTTGTTGATGGGACATCTCCCTCAACACCGCAGTTAAATAATAATAAAAAAGATCAACAGCTTCGAAAATGACAAAAAAGCTCGCCGGCACTTCGAATATGCAGGTTGTAAGAGGCATCGCACCCCCCCGAGTGCTAGACATCAAACTCCCCACGATACCAACGATCGAAAACCACCTAATAACAAAGCTTACAGGTAGAATTGAACCCTGGTTTTCTAGGCAACCGCAAACACGACTTCGACCCGCTCCATCGCTTTGTCCAATCTGACCACCCCCCCCATTCTGGCCCGGTGGCTGACGTTGCTTGCAAGGTTGGATGCGGGAAATGATATATGTACCGTGGTCCTCTTCCCCGGAGCATTATTCTTGCATCCTCTGACTTGACGCTTCTACTGGGCTGGTGACTGCCAGCATTGCTGCTGCTGCACACCCGCTGCCTTGAATATTGTGCTTGCTCCGTCTTTGAAGCTGCCACCACGACCATGATGATGCAGTTCTGGTGTTGAGCTTTTCCTCTGATTATTTTCTTCAACGCAACCATTTCCATGGCAACCCGTAACAACTACATATCCACCATTCAAACTGCTTTGTGGAAATAACCCATCTGGAGTTTGAACATTTCCATGTCTGCTATTCTGAATCAACTAAACATTCTCATCAGTTACCACCCTCTTCGCCCTCCTTCGCAACCGTAACCTCGACCGCCTCGTGTCCTCTCCATGCGTGTATAGTTCATCACTGCTTGTGTCGTCATCTACCGTGTGATTGCTTTCGATTGTTCGGTATCGGGAGATTCGGTCTTGTCGTGCTTCACGTCTACGTCTGCCAGTTGATTTCCGGTGACGGGGTCCGACTTCTTGCACAATCCGATCGTTGTTTTCAGTGAGCTCATTGGATGAGCGAGCAAGAGGAAGATTAGAAGAGTGGTGGCTTGGCCCAAAGCTGATTCTTCTGAGAGCGGTTCCGATGACGATGACCAGAAAAATCGCACCGATGACGAAACAAAGAATCGAGGTAATGCCAAGGCTGTAGTGTTGACTTTCTTCTGGCGTCGAGTTGGAGCCCCATAAACTAACTGACAAAGGACGCCATCTAAGCAGCGAGAAGCCGGGTGGAGGAGGAAGTGTTTTGTTTCGAGCACTCATACAGTTCGAAGCATTGAAGTTATGCTTTTGGATTATCAGTCACTTTTCCATCCGGGTCTGCTGTTACAAAACAAAAGGCCTTACTTACAGACTCGCAAAACTCGACAAAGTCTTTGGTCGAAGTCCACTGCGCCAACTCGTTTGCTGTTTTGGCCTCTATCACCGAGGAGACGGCTGCCCAGATACCCGTACAGGTCAGAGCTAGTCCAATGACACTCATCGTGATCTTCACCCAAATATCGAGCCGGCATAGCCAGGGGGTGTGTTTCCGAGGCCCTTTGGAATAGAGAACGTCCGAACAAAGCGCGGCAGCACCACTCCAAAACCATGACCAAGCAATCCATATTGTGTCTGTAAGCTGTTCCCAATTCCATATTGGAGGCATTTTGAGCATGTTACCGAGTCGAGAGTCCATAGTGATAGTTTGTTGAACAAGAAAAACGCATCAAGAAGTGCACTATGCGCCACCAGGAGGACCCTTCGCGGTCTAAAGTCAACTGTCACCTTTGACCCCCACGCCCCATGGCAACAGCGTTGACGATTTGCAAAGTCCCATCCATATCAGGAGTGGCCTGCAGCAGTTATTTTACCCAGGTAATGCGGTCAAGACCTTGCCCGTGCAACAATGCGCGAGGCTGTAAGATTCATTGCCTTCTGATTGGATTAACCAGCTTGCCAACCCTGCCATTTCACCGAGGCGGAAGATCACGATTGCCCGTGGAGTGCCGTCCGTGCCGTCATTGCTTCGGTCTGCTCTGAAAATGGTCCTCCATGGCGGGATTTCGTCTTGAGCCCGAGTTTGGCATTCGTCACAACCCACACGTTTCTGCGTAATCACCAGCCCCTTCAATCCCACCATTTCATCCCTGTGAGATTATAGCAAGATTTCTGACTCTAGCGGTGAGGTGTAGCCAATTTCTCTCCTTTATTGTGATAAAGATGAGACTCCGCCTGTTACCATGCCTCGGCTCAGTCTCTGAGATCTTCAGCCCTGTCCAGATCGTCATCCAGTAACGACTCCCAGTCCTCTTCTTGGGGTTGAACAAGTTCGGCCGCGGAATCTTCGGATCGTTGTGGTACTGTCTCCCCATCGTCCACCTCGCCCACTGAATCTTCCGAGCCAGCAATATACTCTTGCAGCTTCCATATCAGCATGTTCAGTCTCATGCTCGCCTGTCCCCTCAACATATACAATGATCCGTCCTGAAGTAATGTAGATTCTTGTCTTAACTTGGCCAAGTGTTCTCTGCCCAGCACCACTCGCATGTCATGCACTGCGATCTTCTCGCCGAACTTTGAGCCTTTGATAGCCAGGGTCGAAATTGCTGACGGAACGGAGGCCATCGCGGGGCCAGGGGAAAGGCCTTCTGGAGGCCCGAAAAACAAGACACATTGCCGCTGCTTCAACTCGCTCACTTCGTTCCAGCTGTTGAGCTTGGTAACATATTTGCGTGGTCTGCCATCTGATCCACCCTTCTCAGCCAGATGAGCGGCATGTATGAGACCTTCAAAAACACGTTTGCGCATTGTTTCCAGCAGATAGGTATCCATGTCTTTACGCCATTGAGCATTATTCAAGGCGGATGTGTATCGCCCCGTCCCGCTCTCAGTTGCACGTAGTAGTCTGCTGGAACTCGAGGAATACATGCCTTTGGGCGTGACGAGTTCTTGTAGAAACAAATGGCTGTTGAGAGTATACGCAGAAGGGCCCGGAAGTTCGGTAGCGGCCGGGACCTCCCCTCCTTCTTTTGGAACTTTACTCTCAAGATCTTGTGGCATCCACCATGTTGTTTCTGTGGTTGGATCCTGGCCGAGCTTGAAGCGCTGCAAGAGGGGTTTTGGAAGGGGTGTTCCGGTGATATCACAGGTTCTGACGCGCTCAGCGAGCATTCGGGCTGTGTAAATTTGTTAGAGCCCTGCGAGAAGCAAAGTGAGGCCTGGGAATCAACACACCATAGGGATTTCTCTCCAGTTGCCTGCGGAACTTGTCTTTTGGGCGGGCAGCGTGCTTTGGCTTTGGTTTGGTGAAATTATTTCGGGCTTTGTGAAACTCGGGATCCATAATTGGGGAGAGGGGTAAGTTTCCGACGACGGTTGTGACTGTTTTATTTTCTGGATCGATGTTCAAGGATTCAACTGAGCGCTCATATGCTGACTTCTCATCGTTGTCTCTTGAATCTTCTGCCTCTCTTCGAGTAGTGTTGTGGAGTTGTCGGTAGGTTCGTAAAGATCCACATGATGAGGTATAGGATTCCAGTGCTACTGGCCTGGAGAGACCTCTGCCGAATCTTTGCAACATCTTGTGATTGTTCTTTGGAGGTCCGATGAGGGTTTCTTGCAAGTGTGTAAGTGAGAGCAATGATATCCAAATTCTCCTGCCCACTCGGGATGTGTCCGTGCGCACCCTGTGCCGTGCGACTGTCTTGGCAGGTCGGTTGCCAAGCCGTCAACGTCAGCGGAGCTGGGGGAGCTTCTTGGAGCTGTCCCTCTCTCTCCACCATCATCGCAACCGTCAATTAGATTTGGATTGTTTACTTTCTCGCGACCTCCCAATCCAGCTTACCACATATCGATACGCTATCATGAATACTCAAAGAACAGCTTTTCACCTGCTCAGGCGGTTAGGCGCCTCGCATTGCCGCCGCACCTCCAAGTTCAGCACATTCCCAGGCGGCATCCCTCCCACGAGTGGCGGCATCCCTATGCCATACATCACAGAAGTAACAGTACGTTGGCGAGCGCTTCTGTCTGATATCCATTTGTCTTTTGGAAAACTTACTAACTATTCAGGCTGGCGGCTGGCGAACATGTAAGCCTTGGGTTGCATGAGCATTCTAGGACTCGGCGATGCTGACCCTTCTCGAAGCCGATATCTTCTCCAAACTGCTGCAGGAACGGATTGTCTGCCTCAACGGAGCCATTGATGACACAGTTTCAGCCTCGATAGTTGCGCAGCTTCTCTGGCTCGAATCGGACAACCCCGACAAGCCAATTACGATGTACATCAACTCACCTGGCGGCGAAGTGAGCTCTGGGTTGGCTATTTACGACACCATGACCTACATCAAGTCCCCGGTATCGACTGTGTGCGTTGGTGGCGCCGCATCTATGGCGGCTATTCTCCTGATTGGAGGCGAGCCAGGGAAAAGATATGCGCTCCCACACAGCTCCATTATGGTCCACCAACCGCTGGGAGGGACACGAGGTCAGGCGTCGGACATCCTCATCTATGCGAACCAAATACAAAGGCTGCGAGACCAGATCAACAAGATTGTACAGAGCCACATCAACAAGTCCTTTGGCTTCGAAAAGTACGACATGCAGGCAATCAATGACATGATGGAGAGAGACAAGTACTTGACGGCAGAGGAAGCCAAGGACTTTGGTATCATTGACGAGATCCTACACCGGAGAGTCAAGAACGACGGAACGATGCTGTCCGCAGATGCGAAGGAAGGGAAGCATTAAGGCGTTCTAGTTGTACGAAGGGCGTATGGCTGCATGCCGCAGGCGGGGATGCCTGCAGGAGAGAGTGTTATGACCGCTGCAAAAGGGGTGTTATGACCATCCATCATGGAATACACGGCCGCCAGCACCTTGCAACGGGCCCTACACCGGCATCCCGTCCGATGGCGGATACCCCCCCGGCTGTCCCGGCACTCTTGGCTTGATGTGGGGATTCTGGAACCCGGGTGTTGAACTGCTAGACAATAGCATGTATTGGAACCCCATTACCTTGACCTCCCAATTCATACGGTAGCAGTCTGGAGACCGAGGTCAAAATAAGCTACGGGCTATCCACATGTACTGATACAGCTTTCTTGTAAGCAGAAGACGTTAGCCTAGCGGAAACCAGAAAAGCCACCAACTACATAAATACTCAAGAACAATGATGGGTTCCCGTCTCGAAGTGTGACCTTCATTCTTGGGACAAAGATGACCCCATCTCACTGTCTTCTCTGCTGGCATCTGTCCTGCTGCTGGACCAATGAAAAAGCTTGTATTCGTATTCCCATGCAGCTAAAAAAAAGGGCGGGGAGCTCTTGTGGGGACCCCTGTAGCAGCGTCCCTGTGACTGTCACAGCGCACCACGACTCGGGCAGCCATCTGGAAATTTTAGCTCCGACTTCGCCCAAAACTTCCATCTTTATTCCCCAACCCGACACAGCCAGAAGAACGAGAAGGGTCAATTGACTTGTCCTCACTGTCTATTAAGTCCCTATACCCTCCACGGGCTGTCAATTGGTTCTTTCTTCTTGTTCTCTTCTCTGGCACAGTCATCGTCATATCAGCCATGCTCCCCTCACTTCTGAGAGCTGGTGCTCCCAGAGCTCTGGCCACTGGCCGGGCCCTGCCCATGAGAAACCAGGCGTATGTCTCCTCTATCAAGCTTCAGAGCTGCATTTTCTATCGCCGAGATCAAGAAGCTTACTGTTATCCTTCTCTAGCCGCCTTCTTTCTACCACTGCCCGCCGCTATGCCGATGAGAAGCTCAACAGGGTCTCGGCCACCATCACCCAGCCCAAGTCCCAGGGTGCTTCTCAGGCCATGCTTTACGCTACTGGTATGTCTGAGGCCGACATGAACAAGCCTCAGGTCGGTATTTCGTCCGTCTGGTACGATGGCAACCCTTGCAACATGCACTTGCTCGACCTCTCCGGTCTCGTCAGAGACAGCATCAAGAAGGCTGGCCTCGTGCCCATGCGCTTCAACACTATTGGTGTCTCCGACGGTATCAGCATGGGTACCACTGGTATGCGTTACAGCTTGCAGAGCAGAGAAATTATTGCCGACAGTATCGAGACCGTCATGAATGGCCAGTGGTACGACGCCAACGTTTCCCTGCCCGGTTGCGACAAGAACATGCCCGGTGTGTTGATCGCTATGGGCAGAGTCAACCGCCCTAGTATCATGGTGTATGGTGGTACCATCAAGCCCGGCTGCAGTGCTGGTGGCGAGCCCATCGACATTGTCAGCGCTTTCCAGGCCTACGGCCAGTACCTTTCCGGCGAGATCGACGAGAAGCAGCGCTTCGACATCATCCGCAACGCTTGCCCCGGTGGTGGTGCTTGCGGTGGCATGTACACTGCCAACACCATGGCCAGCGCCATCGAGACTCTCGGTATGACTCTCCCCGGCTCTTCCAGCAACCCCGCCGAGGACCCCAGCAAGAAGGCCGAGTGCGAGAGCGTCGGTGAGGCTGTCAAGACCCTCCTCAGAGAGGACATCCGCCCCCGCGACATCATGACCCGCCAAGCCTTTGAGAACGCCATGACCGTCGTTACCGTTCTTGGTGGCAGCACCAACGCCGTCCTCCATCTCATCGCCATCGCCGACTCCGTTGGCATCAAGCTCACCATCGACGACTTCCAGACCGTTTCCGACAGAATCCCCTTCCTCGCTGACCTCAAGCCCTCCGGCAAGTACGTCATGGAGGATCTCTGCAAGATTGGTGGTACCCCCTCCCTCCTCAAGTTCCTTCTCAGGGAAGGTATCATTGATGGCTCTGGCGTCACCGTCACCGGCAAGACCATGAAGGAGAACGTCGAGGCCTACCCCGACTTCCCTCCCGAGCAGAAGATCATCCGCCCCATGAGCGACCCCATCAAGCCTACCGGTCACATCCAGATTCTCCGCGGCTCCCTCGCCCCCGGCGGCTGTGTCGGCAAGATCACTGGCAAGGAGGGTCTCCGTTTCGAGGGTACCGCCAAGGTCTACGACTACGAGGATGGCTTCATTGAGGCTCTCGAGCGCGGTGAGATCAAGAAGGGCGAGAAGACCGTCGTTGTCATCCGCTACGAGGGTCCCAAGGGTGGTCCTGGTATGCCTGAGATGCTTAAGCCGAGCTCTGCCATCATGGGCGCTGGCCTTGGCAAGGATGTTGCCCTCATCACTGATGGGCGCTTCTCCGGTGGTTCTCACGGCTTCTTGATCGGTCACATCGTGCCCGAGGCCATGGAGGGTGGCCCCATTGCCCTTGTCCAGGACGGTGACAAGATTGTCATTGACGCCGAGCAGCGTGTGCTCAACCTCGAGATCCCTGCTGAGGAGCTCGAGAGGAGAAAGAGCCAGTGGAGAGCCCCCGAGTCTAAGGCCAGGAGGGGTACTCTTAGGAAGTACGCCCAGCTGGTCAAGGATGCCAGCCACGGCTGTGTGACTGATGCTTGAACGGGCGTAGAAGCTCGGGAACTTTGAAGGGATGCAGAAAAAGGTATAATTTAAGGGTGGGACTTTTTGTTTTGTACATATACTGATCTTGTTTTTATTTTGGCATGGGAAAAGGGCGCTTATTGTTTGCCTGTTTTTGGGTGGTTGGGTGCGGAAAAAGATATACCAGGTTGGCGGTTGACAAGTATAATCAAGCAAGAATTTGATGAACTTTTTGTTACATTGGGTTCCAATTATCGACACGGACATGATCTTCTCGTCCTGGTATAATGCTAATGATCATGCATGTTCCAAAATTTCCCAACCTCTATATCCGATCTTGATTCCTTCCTGCTTGCCTGTAAATGCGCATTAAAAACATCATATCACAAACCAACCCCTGACCATTTGTTTCACCACAGCTCTACCTTCTCCTCTTATTCCAAGCCTCAACAAAGGCATCCTTCTCCTTCAACGTCAAGCCCACCCTCTTCGCCCTCCCTAACCTAGCCAAGGCCTCCGCGACATTGTCCAGCAGCTTCTGCTCCTCCACCGTCACCCCGTCCTCCCCACTGGGCGTGCTCTCCTCCTGGCTTGAAACCCCATTGACGGCCTTGGTGGTATTCACCATCCCCTCCGCAATCCTGACCCTAATATAATGCGTCGGCCGCCCCAGCAGCTTCCACAAAAACTGGATCCAAGTTCCAGGCACGGGCGTCGTAATATCAGGTGGCGTATACCTCATACTGACAGGGAAGATCTTTGCCTCAGCCGGCACAGTCAACAAGGCCGGGCTCAACGGCAGAATCCCCTTTCCATTCGTCGTGCCCGATTCCGGAAAGATGGCAACAACCCTGTTGGGATTCTTCTCGATGATCGTCCTCAGGTCGGTGAGACTACTTCCCGGAGGAGGGGACAAGGGGGCGGGGGACAAGGCATTGATTATTGCTGCGATGAGCGAGATGCGTTGGACTTTTCGGGAGTGGGGGTAGGAGACGACAAAGATGGGGTCGAAGACGGCGGCGAGGTAGAGGGCGTCGACGGGGGAGGTGAAATTGGCGGCGATGAGGGAACCGGGGTGGGGGACGCGGGAGGGGGGTTGCTGGGAGAGGGAGCCGCGTTTTACGCCGTCGAGTTGGAGGTCTACCCACCAGATTCCGGGGATGGAGAGGTAGGTCCAGAGGAGGAGCTTGTGGGCCACGGCGGGGAGGGGGAAGTGGTGGAGGAAGAGGAAGTAGAGGAGGGTGTAAGCGAGGAAGATGGGGAGGCGGATGAGGAAGAGGATGGTGGAGGTTAGGTTGCTGAATATGGAGGTGGGGGAGGAGGTGGGCATGAAGGGGGATATGCCGGACCCTGTGATGGAGAAGGTTAGCGAGGGTGTGACATGGTTAGAGGGGATGGGATGGTAGGCGGGGGAGAGACATACCTCTGTCGCGAAACTGGGAGAACTTCTCCATGATGCGATGGGATGGGGTTGCGATGCGCGGCAAGGGCGGTTGCGGTCCTTGGGATTATTTTAGTGCCGTATGTATACGAGGACGGGGGTGTCGTGAGTGTATGTACCGCAGTAGTAGTTGCGTAAAGTGTTGATCCGTGTGATACAGGCAAATGTAGGCCTGACGTACGATTAATAGATTTCAGAGGCTTTCACTGGCCAGATATTTTGAAGACATCATGCCTGTCCAGTGGAGCATGTGAACGAGTGGCACGTGCGCTGTAGAGACCAGTCTCGCTACAGAACTCTGGGACAAGGGCACACTGGAGACACTGGCTCACTGGGGACGGTGTGGCTGGAATGATTCCGGCGGGATGAGCAGATCAAGGCAGATGAATGGACAGGAGGACAGGAAAGAAAGCTGCACCCTAACCCTTTGAGCGGGGTATTCCGGGACACACATTGACACACCGCCCCCCTTGCCCCGTGGAAACTAGTAGATGCAGCTCTTCCAAGAGAAGCTGGCTGGGACTCCGCATCGGATGAGAAATTAATGGGGAGAGAATCTGCTTGACATCTTCTACCTCTTCATCCTATCCGTCCAAGCATGCCACTCTCTCGCCAGTCTCTGGATTGCTGGCCCTGCTCAATCCACGTTTCCTTTGTTCACCATGTACCCCACAAAACCCCACACGGCGTCGTCCCAGCGGACCCCTCCCATTGGCTCCCGTAAGCAGTTTCGTTGCCCCGGTGAAGTAAACACAGCTTCTACCATCCGTCTTTCTACGCTACACCCGTTGAGGAGAAGAGGCACCAGTCCAGTCCCAAGTCCCAGGGAAGACCCGCCTCTGTTCACGACTGTGTCGCACCCCCCAACTCAAACTGGAGCACTGCTCCTATCGCTATCCTATCTGCTCGTCCATTTTCTTATTCCTCGCATGCGCAACGGAGCCAACGCCAACATGGAGTCTACAGAGAACGGCGGTGTATGTTTTGAAGTCTTTCTCTCCATCTTTGATGCTGCCCTCGGACCCCCGACCCTGACACTGATATTTTGCGACATCTAGACCTTCCGCTCCGGCCTTCGCGCCCCTCGAGTCCACACGAGCACCACGACCACGATGGCCCCGAGCGCATACCTCCAGGAGATCACCAATTCGGACCAGAATGCGCGACCTCACTCGTCGGGCCTCCTCCCGTCGAAACGCACATACAATGGCGCCGGTACGTTGTCGTCACCGCCCAATCCATGCCACCCACTTGCCCTGACTGACCGAAAAGGATCTTCTGTAGTCCCAGACCGCGACGCCAAGCGCAAAACACTGGCGGAAAGAGCTGGTGAGCCTATCTCCAAATCGCAACTGCCAGCAGCTACGCCTTCGGTCTCGAGAATGACGGGCATCGGCCTCAAACCCACATCTATCGCATCTCTTGCATCTGTACGTTGACTGTTATCTCCGACTCCTACCCTGCAGCCCACTTCCCATTGCCCAATCTATCCCCACTGTCCCACACGCCATATTCCTACTCGTCATTGGGCTCAATGTCGGCCCCAAAAGAGACCAGTAACAAGAAGAGCCCCAACCCGCCAGCATGGAAGCGTCTGAGGGGCTGCTGTTCAGATACCTACCTGCGCCGCTCCTCCGACGACTGCGACCCATGGACCGACTCGGCTGGCACTGAACTTGATCATGTATTTTTCTTGCTTGCCTTGCCACAGGCCTTGATGCTAACCCTGACTTGTCGTAGACTCACCAACCCGCTACCGCAACATCCACACGGCCACCAACCACTCTTCCAGGAACCTCCCGCCATGCCAGCACCAACAGCTTTTCGCGAACCATGGGTGCCGGAAGCCGCCCACCAATATCAGGCCGAGCACCCAGCTCCATGGGCTTCAACCCATCGAACACCAGAGGAACCACGAGATCTCGACCGGCGACAGCGATGAGCGGGCGATCAGCGGAAGAAGATGGAGGACCAGCCGACCAAAAGAAAAGTAGGAATTTTTCTGCTTCCTTACAACCCCGTACCAAGAAAGTGCGGACTCAAAGAGGACGATCTACAGCCTCTGAACAGTCCGTCGGAACCCGTGCTCGAATGCCTAGCAAAGAGGAGTTGACGCTCAGCAAGCGGATGGGCAACCTCTCGCTCAATGATGACGTCGGCAACATAGCTAGCGGAAATCAAGTGATATCCAAGGCAAAAGAGCAATCCCTTTCTCTTATGTTTCAGCCGCCCGACGGACAAGAGCAGCGAAGTTCGACTCTCCAGAACCGCCGGGGGGGAGCTACCAGTCCGGACCCGTTTAGGACCACCAACTCTCAGGCCAATTTCCCTAGTGTACCAGTCACCCCGCCAGAGATCCGGAATGGCCGTGTGGCATTGGAGAAGCTGGGCACCGCGGTCAGGAGCATTGCCCAGACCCCTTGTTCTCCTACCAAATCTCCGTCTCCTAAAAAGTTACCATTCTTGACCAAGGACTCACATTTAAAAACTTTCACAGGCTGGGATGTAGACGGTCGGCTTCACGAGTTCGAGACGCAGTTCAAAGAGATGAAAGAGGCCTTTGATACCACCATTACCGACAGAAAAGCCCTCGAGGAGGCTATTCAGTTTGCGAAGAATAGGGGTAAGTTTGGCGGAGTGATATCCAGAGTTGGGGACTAACGTGCTGTTCTAGCGAGTGATCTTGAACGTGAGCAACAACGGTTGATGGACCAAACTGCACAACTACAGGGACAGATCAGCTCTTTGCAACATGACAACCTCTCCATGCAGCAAGAAAAGCAGTCATTAATCCTACAGTTCGAGAGCGAGCGGCAAAAGCACAAATACGAACTCCAGGACAAGTCACGAGAGCATCAACACGACGTCGAAGAAATCAAGCGAGGGTTCAAGGCCGAGGTCGAACAGATGAAGTGGGAACACCAACAGGCTTTGGAGGCAATGGAGAGACAATACCGAGCGGAAATGAAGGACCGACAGGCCCAAAACTCAAAGGAGCTGGAGGAGCTACGGGCCAAGTTGGGGTCAAAACAGGAGGACATGAATCTGGAAGTCCTCCGAAAAGACCGCCAGATCCAGGAATTACGGTCCCTTATGGAAGGCCTTAAGCTGGACTTGGACCGGGAACAGACGGTCAAGGGTAACCTTCAGCAGAAACTGACCGAGATGTCGACGACAAATATGACTTTGGAGGACCGGTTACGAGGCCTTAATGCCAAGATCGAATTCCTGGAATCCGACAGCAAGCAACAATCAGACTCGTTTGCTCATATGGAGGCCCGGCTGCAGGATGCTTTGCGGGTCGCTGAGGAAGCTCGCGAGAAGTTAATCAAGGAGGAGACGGAGCGCCGGGTTCTGTTCAACAAGTATCAAGAGCTAAAGGGCAACATCCGTGTGATGTGCAGAGTACGCCCCGTGCTTGGGAATTCGGAAGGCAACCCAGCTCAAATCGGCTTCCCTGACGAGAAGACATCGGCTCAGATCGACGTCACCCAAGAAGAGAAGAACAGCATGGGCATGGTGAGCCGAAAGGTAGTCCCATTCGAGTTTGATCGTGTGTTTTCCCCAGCGGTCCACAACGAGGAGATCTTTGGAGAAATTTCGCAGCTCGTGCAGAGCGCTCTTGACGGCTACAATGTCTGCATCTTCTGCTACGGTCAAACAGGATCCGGCAAGACCTATACCATGTCCTCGCCCGATGGCATGATTCCCAGAGCCACCCACATGATTTACGAGACGATTACGAAGTTGAAGGAGAAGTCATGGACATATACGATGGAGGGTAGTTTTGTCGAAGTGTACAACGAAGAGCTCCACGATCTGCTCACGCCTGGCAGAGAGTCGGATGGAAAGAAGAGACTCGAAATCCGCCACGACGACAGCCGCAAGCAGACTACAGTTCTCAACTGCAAGACAGTGGCGCTTGACTTACCCGATAAGGTCGAGATGATGCTCAAGCAAGCCCAGAACAACCGCAGCGTTGCCGCTACCAAGGCAAACGAGAGATCTTCGCGCTCGCATTCCGTCTTCATTCTGAAGCTGGTGGGTGAGAACTCGGCCACCAACGAGCGTTGCGAAGGCACTCTCAACCTGGTGGATCTTGCTGGTTCTGAACGTTTGAAGCATTCTCAAGCCGAGGGCGAGCGCATGAGGGAAACGCAGAACATCAACAAGAGCTTGGCATGCCTCGGCGATGTTATCGAGGCTCTGGGACGCGGGTCAGGCCACGTCCCATACCGCAACTCCAAGTTGACGCATCTCTTGCAGTACTCGCTCAGCGGGAACTCCAAGACGCTCATGTTTGTTATGGTCAGCCCACTAGAGGCCCATCTGAAGGAGACAATCACGAGTTTGCGGTTCGCCACCAAGGTTAGTACCACATCTCTCAAAAAGGGTTTACGACAATCACTAACATGGCTCAGGTGCACAACACCCATATCGGTACGGCCAAGTCGACGAAGAAGCTTGTCAAGGACCGGGCAACCGACTATTAAAGAGCGTCATAATGATCCCATTTCCTTTTTTGATGTTTCTTTTCTTCTGTGTGTATATGATGTTGAGAAGGACCACCTTTTTGCTTCTGGTTTGGATGGGAGCCCTTGGATGGATTTGGTGGGTGGGCCAGGGGCATATGGCAGGCAGGCAGGCGGCGACGGGGCGTTGTGTTATGAATGATACCATGAATCATTGTCTTTACTATATTGGGCCGGCAGCAAAGAGGGCCGGCGGGCTGGAGTACAAACAGTATACAGTTGTCAGAGCTGGGGAGATCTCGTCGGCTACAAGTTTTTTAGTATTTCTATTTTTAAGACCCCACGAATTATGGGCATGATTCGGGGGTTTCTTCTTTTCTGGCCCGAGGGGGCAAGATGGGGGTCGGTTGGAGAGAGAAAAGTTGAAAAAGAAGGTAGAGTTTGGTGGCGGGTGAACAGAGTTGTTGGTTGTAGGTTTGATGGGGAGTAGAGGCTTCCTGGAACACAATTGAGGTATATATGCTTGATACTGACAGAGGTTGCGACGTGCGTTGAGATATAATGACCAGCTCGAAAGCCAGCGTTGCAGCGTTGCTCAGACTCGGGTCTACAATGAATTGTTTTGTGGATGATGTCACTGGACATTAAATTGATAGGCATGTCAGCCTCGGCAGTCAACTTTACCGAGACACAACCAGGCAGGCTGTCGTTGAGATAGCATCGAGAAGCTTTATACAGTTCAGCCAACAAGCCACTATGAACAGCGGATTCTCGGAATGCTGAATGTTTACCGCGCCTTTATTTTCCCTTTCATGGAGAGCGAGTCGTTGACATTCGACAAGCGTCTTCCCCGCAACACTTGTTCCCGATGTAGGTGGGGCATTACAAATCGAACCTCTCAACCTCTCTAGTCACCCACCAGCCTGTTCCATTTCTTTCATGAGATCGATGGTACGGCAGACGGCGCAATTGTCGATCCGGCTTCTGAGAGGGTCGATTCGTCATCATTGACTAGCGGACTGGCATCGCCTATTTGTAGCATCTTCGTGAAAGTGTTGATGAGAGGATTAATAAACCCCATCATCTTGTTCAACAACCCCCACTCAAATTCTTCCCCTCTCTTTCTATTTTGGAGAGTACATACATCATTTGAAACTAATCCTCGGTAGCATACTCCCGAACCGAGCTTCAGTTAACTGCGGCTTGATTTGTAAAATAGGAGCAGTGGATTTCTAAACTGAGCTTTAGTGAGTGTTACACCAGTGCCCACATCATCCCTTCTCATCATACCTACCTTGCGTTGCACAATCCCACAATATACTTCCGTGTATATATAAGAGAACTGCTGCTGTTGTAAAGAAAATGACTGACCCCTCCCCATCAATGCAGCGCATTTCCCAGCTCGCCTCCCACTTGACCAAGACTCATCCCAAAACTTTCTTACGGAACTTTACATCCAAGATGGCGTCGAACAACAGCAACATCCACCTTTACACTGTTGGTACACCCAACGGAATCAAGGTGTCCATCCTTCTCGAAGAACTTGGGTTGCCTTACAAGGTGACGCCCATTTCTTTTAGTAAGAATGAGCAGAAGGTATGTTCCCCCCTCCGCTCACATAAGGTAGGGTAAATGTGATGTTGATGTGGAAGCGATAGGAGCCTTGGTTCTTGGAAATCAACCCCAATGGGCGGATTCCTGCCCTGACGGACACCCTCCCGGATGGCACGCCGATTAACCTTTTTGAGAGCGGGAGTATCATGCAGTATTTGGTGGATAGGTATGATACCGAGCACAAGGTTTCGTACCCGAGGGGGAGTAAGGAGGGGTATGAGGTGAATAATTGGCTGCATTGGCAGATGGGGGGGCTGGGTGAGTTATATGACAGTGAGAAGAAGGAGATGGATGAGTTGATGCTAATGGTGTTTGATGACAGGGCCTATGCAAGGCCAGGCAAACCACTTCTTCCGGTATGCACCCGAGAAGATCCAGTACGGGATTGATCGGTATCAGAATGAGACGAGACGGCTGTATTCGGTGATGGAGAGGCAGCTTGAGAAGGGGGATTATTTGGTGGGGGATCGGGCTACGATTGCGGATTTTGCTTGTTGGGGGTGGGTGGCTGCTCATCACTGGGCTGGGGTGAGTCTGGATGAGTTTCCCAAGCTGGAGGCGTGGCTGCATAGGTTGTTGGAGAGGCCCGGGGTGGAGAAGGGGAGGCATGTGCCGAGTCCGCATACGGCTTTTGATATGAAGAATAAGAGTGAGGAGGAGCTGGAGAAGGAGGCGGAGAAGAGCAAGGCTTGGGTGCAGGCGGGGATGAAGGCTGATGCTAAGAAGTGAGGGAGGGAGTGGAAGTTGGTGGGAGCGTTAGGGAAAGGAAGTAGGCTGTAAGATGAGGGCTGTAAGGGTTGTTGATGGAAGTGAATATCGAGCTATGAAATCAAACAAATAGACTTTTTCAGACTTGGTACAGAGTCAACATTTTCATATCTTCAACAACATCAATTCATTGCCCATCCAGAAGCCGTATGTGAATCGGGATCCCTTCACATAAGTGGGCCCATCTGAACGCACGCCGCCCAATCACGTGTAGCGCCACTCAGCCTCGATCGGGCTAGCGTTAGGTGGACAGTTTCCTGACAAGATCGAGATGCGACAAAACTTCGCCCCAGGTAAACCTATCCCAAACATCAACAACTCTGCAGAATCAGCACAAGCGTCAAGATGTCGTGGAGAAATCAAGGAATCACCGGTTCCAACAATATTCCCTTGGGGAAAGCCCGTCGCTTGCACGGCGATGGCGATGGCAACGACAGCAGCACTTTCAGTCCTCCCCCGGCCTCGAACAACGGATCTGTTACGAATGGAGATCGCGACGTGAAGCGTGGCCGAAGCCCTGAGCGTGGTAAGTTTCCATACTCTCACCCTACCTTTGCTAATGATAATTCAATGCTAACTTGACTTGTCCAGGTAACAATGATGATGGTCCGAGACGTCGCAAGAAGAGAAACCGCTGGGGCGAGGCGACCGAGAACAAGGCCGCTGGCTTGATGGGTCTTCCCACTGCCATCGTCGCCAACATGACCAGCGAGCAGCTCGAGGCATACACTCTCCACCTCCGTATCGAGGAGATCACACAGAAACTCAAGATCGACGACGTTGTTCCTGCTGATGGAGACAGGTGTGTTTTACCATGCTATTCCGTCCTCAATATCAAATACTAACCCACTATCCTAGATCGCCCCTCCCTGCGCCCCAATACGACAACCATGGTCGCCGTGTCAATACCCGCGAATACCGCTACCGCAAGAAGCTCGAAGACGAACGCCACAAGCTGATTGAGAAGGCGATGAAGACGATCCCCAACTACCATCCTCCCTCGGACTACCGTCGCCCAACCAAGACCCAGGAGAAGGTCTACGTGCCTGTGAACGACTATCCAGAGATTAACTTCAGTATGATTGCTAACCCTCAAACCTCTCTAACCACACCCCCTTCCTTGCTATTGGTGCTTTGCTAGGCACCTCAGTCGGCGTAATGCCTGAAGCTGCGCCTTGCGGGCATCTACATGCTAAACTCCAGCCCTAACCTAACTCGTTGTACCACGATATCCAAATGACTAACACTTAGGTTTTCCGTATTAAAGTCGGTTTACTCATAGGCCCTCGCGGCAATACCCTCAAGAAGATGGAGACAGAATCCGGCGCCAAGATTGCAATTCGCGGCAAGGGCTCCGTGAAGGAGGGCAAAGGTCGTTCTGACGCCGCTCACTCCAGTAACCAGGAAGAAGATCTCCACTGTCTCATCATGGCCGATACCGAGGAGAAGGTGAATAAGGCGAAGAAGCTGATTCACAATATTATTGAGACTGTAAGTTTTTCCTCCCCGTATGCACTGGAGTGAAGACACCCGCTAATATGTTGGCTACAGGCTGCGTCTATTCCCGAGGGTCAAAATGAACTGAAGCGCAATCAACTTCGTGAGCTTGCCGCCTTGAACGGTACTCTGCGTGACGACGAGAACCAGGCATGCCAGAACTGCGGCCAGATCGGTCATCGCAAATATGACTGTCCTGAGAAGCAAAACTTCACGGCCAGCATCATCTGTCGTGTTTGCGGCAATGCTGGGCATATGGCTCGTGATTGTCCTGATAGACAGCGCGGTGCCAGCTGGCGCAATGATGGTCCCATGGCTAACCGCACTGCCGGCCGTATCGGCGGCGGCGGCGGCGGCGATGCTGTGGATCGCGAGTATGAGGTGAGTTCTGCCCTTGCGTCCCTTTCGGTGGTGATATCCATATGCTAACCATGTTCTACAGCAACTCATGCAAGAACTCGGCGGCACTGGTGCTGCTCCTGCCATGATCGAAGCCGGGCCTGGATCCAACGGTCCTACTGGTCCTGCTGGTGGTGATTCGCGGCCTTGGGCCCGCGGTCCTAGCGCCCCAACCGGCGGTCCTGCTCCCTGGCGTACTCGCAACAACGATCGTGATGACCACCATGGTGGCGGTGGTGGTTATGGTGGTCCTCCCAGCGGTCCTTCAGGTGGCCCTGCACCGTGGGCCCGTGATCGTGGTGACCGTGATCGCGGAGACCGTGGTCGGGACTATCGTGATGACCGTGGCGACCGTGGAGATCGTGATGACCGGGGGTATCGTGGTGGACGTGATGGTCGCGATGGCGGTGACAGCTATTATGGCAGTGGTGGTGGTGGTCACAACTCATACGGTGCTCCCCCTCCGCCACCTTCGGCTCCTGGGATGGCCCCATGGCAACAGCCTGCTGGTGGAAATGCGGCCTACGGTGGATATCCTGGCTACGGCGGCTATGGTGCTCCTCCCGGAATGCCCGGTGCGCCTCCCAGCTTGCCTCCCCCTCCTCCGGGCGGTGCTCCTCCCGGCCTCCCTGGCGGCTTGAACGCGCTCATCCAGCAATACGCCAACGCAGCTCCCCCACCACCCCCTCCGCCTGCGGGTGAAGCACCTCCTCCTCCGCCCATGGACTTGCCGCCTCCTCCTCCTCCCCCGGGGGCTTAGTGGTAGCAACCGGTGGAACGACTGACCGATAGGGATCTGACCTGTTATTAACGTTGCTTGGCTCAGCTGTTTCATTATTATTGGATCCTCGACCTCTGATGGTTAGGATGTCTGGCTTACATGTAATCAGGCACAGTGGAACTAACGGTCTAATTAGTATACAGCAACATAGAACTTGTAATTTCATTAGATTCAAAGTATTGTAGACATGTGTTTATACTGTGATTCTTTGTTGCTGCTGCTCAGTGACATCAGCAGGAGCTTGGGCCATTTCTTATGCAAGCCCACTGCACAACGGGCCTTGGCAAGCCCCACTCACCGGCCGCCTTTGAGCCCCCCTAGCTCTTGCAGCTCTCTCATGTTCAGATGATCTCGTCGCCTTCCCCGACATCGCCCTCGCCCTGAACTTGCAGAGGCAAAAGAAGAAAACAGCAGGAATTCCCAGGGGTTCCAACTGTGTTGATCCACAAAGGGAAGAAGGCTCCGTCCCGACCAGTTGCCTCAACGCAACAAAGACGAGACTGCCCAGTTGGCGAACCTCGAACGGTTGCACGGCATCGTCCCCCTCCACCATCTTTCACACACACCTTTTGGGACTCGGACTCGACCACCCACTCACGCGTGTTACCTATTGACTTTTCCCTTTCAAGAACTATCGACGGCGGTTTTGGCTTGCAGTACCTAAATCACTCTTAGCTTTTTTCACATGTCTTGAGATTCCCCGCACCAAGAAGAGAAGCAGCTCTCTCATATCACCGAGCCAAGCACAGCACTCTTGTGTTTGTTGCCCACCATGATCAACCCCATCTCGTTCCGGCCGGGGCCGGTGACGTTTTGGACGACGTTAGTCTACCTCGCCCTGCTGATCCCGATTGTCATCATCAACGAGACGGTCCCCCCTGCGCCGGCGGCGGCGGACGATGGCAAGATTGAGGGGGTGAACCTGACGGAGGCGTGGCTGGACCTGACGAGGATCACGAGGGGGTATCATCCGTATAACAGCAGGTTTAACGAGGAGGTGAGGGGGTATTTGCTGGGGAGGGTGGGGGAGATATTGGAGGGGAGTGGGGTGGGTGGGAAGAAGGGAAATGTGACGGTTTTTGATGATTTGAGGAGCAATGTTACGGGTTTGATGGCGGGGAGCGTAGTGCCTACGCCGGGTAGTGCTCAGGTGGCGGCGTATTTTGAGGGGACGAATATTTTGGTTTATGTTAGGGGGAAGGGGGATGATGAGGGGGATTGGTGGAGGAGGAGTGCTGAGGGGGGAGAGATGGAGGGGGTGAGGAAGAATGAGAGGGGCTTGGTGTTGGTTAATGCGCATTACGACTCGTGAGTTCTTTACGATGGATGATGTTTTGAGGGGTTGGTGATACTGATGATGGTGATAGGGTTTCGACTGGGTATGGTGCTACGGATGACGGTATGGGTGTTGTTACCTGCCTGCAGGTGATCAAGTACTTTGCTCACCCGGATCACCAGCCGGAAAGGGGCATTGTGGTGATGCTTAACAATGGCGAGGAGGATTACCTGTACGGTGCGAGAGCGCTGGGACAGCACCCGTTGAATCCGTATATCCATACGTTCTTGAATCTTGAGGGTGCCGGTGCTGGAGGACGGGCAAATCTTTTCCGGACTACGGACAGAGAGGTCACGGCTGCGTATGCTGGGACTTCGGACCCCTTCGGCACGGTCATTGCTTCTGATGCCTTTGGGCTTGGGTTCATCAGGAGCGGTACTGACTACTCGGTGCTTTACGACGTGTATGGGCAGCGAGGACTCGACCTTGCTTTCTTCAAGCCTAGATCGAGATACCACACCAATAGGGACGATGCTACTCACACGTCGAAGGCCAGTCTTTGGCATATGCTCAGCGCGGCTATCCACACGGCCAGTAAGCTCTCGGGGGATACTGGGGATACCTTTGTTGGCGCTCGGCCTGATGGCGCCCGCAACAAGGTCCGCAATGGCAGCCCAAGCAACGGAGTGTGGTTTGATCTCTTTGGCAAGGGGTTCGTCAATTTTGGCCTGAGAGGCATGTTTGCCTGGTCGCTGACGGTGCTGGTGGCCACGCCTCTGATCTTGGTGTTGGCCACGTACATCCTTCACAAACTGGACAAGTACTACTTTTTCACCTCAAGCGTCAGGACGTATGATCAGCCTGACTTTGAGCCAGTGTTGGTCGGCGGGTGGAAAGGTGCTTTTCGGTTTCCCTTCGCGTTTATTGTTTCTGGGGCGCTGTCGCTTGCGGTGGCCTTCTTGATGAGGAAAGTGAATCCTTTCATTATCTACAGTCATCGGTATTCTGTGTAAGTTTCTCTTTTGGGGATTAATGGGGGATGGTGTGGCTAACAACGAGCAGGATCGCTATGATCTTCTCCCTCTTCTACTTCACCTTCTGGTCCATTATGCGCGGCGCCAACTTTGCCAGACCCAGTGCGCTTCACCGGGGCTATGTCAACATTTGGTTGTTCATCCTCGGCTGGGCTACCCTCGTTGCGGTAACCGTGACGGAAGATCGCTTCAAGCTCGGTGCCGGCTACCCCATCGTCTTCCTACAGACCGCTGTCTGCCTGACCACCTTCCTCACTCTCTGCGAGCTCTTTGCCTTGCCCAAGAAGACCGCCTGGGGTCAGCAAGTTCGGGAGGATCATGAGGTTCACGATTATTACCAGCCCCAGTCGGGCAACAACAATACTCGTACTGAATCCCCTCCCCCATTGCCGCAGATCCCTCACCAACCATCTCTAGTGCCGCCCGCCACGCGGGACTCGAATGCTTCCACTCTGCGCCAGGGAGACGGTAACGACACGGACGACGAAGACGCGGCAGTACCGACTGAGCGCACGCCGTTGGTGGGCGGTGGTAATGCCACGAGCGAGCACTTCCGCACGACCTTTGCTACGACGTATCGCCGTTCGATCACAGCGTTGGTCAATGGAGCTCGCAAGTACGGGCAGGATGGCGACGAGCCGTTTGAGCATGAGCAGGCTTGGTCTGGACGCTTGCCTTCTTGGCTGTGGTTTTTCCAGTTTTTGATTCTGGGGCCGTTTACGATTATCCTGGCGGCGCAGACGGGATTGATGCTCGTGGATGCTGTTCATCAGACTGGTGCTGATGGGAGCAACTTGCTGCTGCCGTATTTGATTGTTTTCGCCTTTACGGTGTTGGTTCTGCTGCCCATTACGCCGGTCATTCATCGGATTAGCCATCACATTCCGGTTTTCTTGTTGGTGGTGTTTGTTGGCACGCTGATTTACAACTTGGTGGCTTTCCCGTTTTCAGAGGAAAGTCGGTACAAGGTGTACTTTGTTCAACAGATCGATCTCGACACGGCGGATAACCGGGTGTGCTATAACGGGGTGGATGAGTATGTTCACAAGATCATTGCTGAGCTGCCGTCGGCTTCGGGGAGGAATGTTACCTGTGGGGAGTCGAAGCGGGCGGAGCTGGTCAGTTGTTGCTATGACGGGGTCGATGTTGCCCCTCGGCTGGGAAGTGAGACTCCTGAGGAGGACACGCCAATTGAGGAGATCTACAAGAGCCTTGCTACTGTCACTGCCACGCGCGGTGAGGGGAACAAGGCCCAGCTGGAGATCGAGGCCGACAATACCAAGGCATGCTTCTTGGAGTTTAAGCAGCCCATCTCGGGATTCAATGTTCAGGGAGGTTCGGAATGGGATGATAGATTTGGGCAGTTCCCTGAGGGTGGGATTAAGCAGTTGAAGCTGTGGCATCGGCAGAGAGGGGAGAGGTGGGTTGTTGATGTTGAGTGGAAGGATGCTGAGAAGTTGGAGGGACAGGTGGTTTGTGCTTGGAGTGATGCTAATGAGGCGGGGACTATTCCTGCATTGGATGAGGGGTTGAGATATTCACCTGTTTGGGCGGCGATTACAAAGTTTGCGGAGGGGTTGGTAGAGGGACGGAAGGGGTTTTCGGTGTAGAATGAGATGAGTAGGGAGTGAGAGCAGGGGGGAAGATGGGAAGCGTGAGTTGTGGTGTTCAGTGTGCCTAGAGTATTCCTAGGTATAGATATGGTGTAGGAAACCTAATTGACCTTTCAGATGTTACATAAAAGACTGAGCAAACATTGCGGAGTTTTGAGCAGATGTTTGCATGTTTTGCCATGGCTCACCTTGTGTCAGGGGTAGTTTGCTATTTCGGTCTCATGTAAAGTGCTGGCAGCAACCATTTCGCCTCAAGGACAGGAATATCCTGTCATTCCTCATTAAAGGCAGTCAAGCACAGATCGAACATGATCAGACACCGGGTGTTACACCCGTTTGGTATTTTCTTTGTGGAACCTGTCATTGTGCTGCTGTGAACCTCAGGGGTATACTTCTACTACGAAAGGAGCGATAAGGGTAGAGAGAAATAGGTATACGGACGGAACTTTTGTGGCACTTGCTCTCTTGGACAGGAGGACGAAGACTGGGTTGGCAAGACTCGACAAGTGAGACGAATGTCGAGTATGGCTTGAAGAACTGCTCAGCCACCAGCAATTGAGGAGCTTCCTTGATGATAGCGCACCAGTGTAGACGTCTTCGAGACCCGTGAACGTTAATGGCGGCCAATTGTGAGGTAGCTTGTTCCTTTGGTCACATTAACAAGGCAAAGGATCTATCTCAGGGAGGCACGAGCAGTCTCACAGAAAGCTCGAGTCTTTTATTCAGGGCGGTGACTGTACCTTACTCAAAGTCGTTCTTTCCTTCCCCTGGCTCTGCCGGCTTTCTTGGCTCACCATCTGGCAGTCCTCGACTTCAGGTTCTCTACCAACTTCTGTTTACAACTTCGGCCTGAACAATTCCATCTTCTCTTACCAAACTTGGAGACCTACAATCCACATTCAACCTCAACTTCTTAACTACCTGGTTTTAGGAACGAACAACTCTCACCCTCACTCAATTCCCTACCTACAACCACCAATCCCACACCTGAAATGATCCTCAAAGCCCTCCTCCTGGCGACCCTCGCCGCCGCCACCCCCCTCCTATCCCCCAAGTTAATCTCCCTGAACCCCACCGACTCCGACACCGAAATCTACAAATCCGTCCCATCCTCCCCTCCCCAGGAAGTCTACCGCTCCTTTCACCCCCACTCCTCGAGAAGCTACCTCGAAACAGGCACCGCTGCCTTCCCCGCCCCAGCAGCTTGCACTACCGGCCCCGCCGCCTCCTCCAACGACGACAGCGGGTTCAACATTGGAGATTACACCCTCGTCACTCCTTCCAACAAGACCACCAGCTACCAAGTCGAAAAGACTTGGTATAAGAAGCACCTCGTTTCTGGCCCTCACTGGTTCGGGTACAGCTCGGCCGAGGGACAGTTTGGGGCGTGGAAGTGCCAGTTTTTGTGCAATGCCGAGGAGGAGTGCAATGGGTATTTTGTCTGGTTTGAGGCTCGTGATGAGAAGGGGAGGGGGGAGACGATGAAGTGTAATCTGTTTGATGCTGTGTAAGTTTTTTGTGATCTTGATGGGTGGTGGATGGGGGCTTACAGAAAGTGAAAATGTTATAGCATCCCCGAGTCGGTCTTGGTTTCTACCAATGCTACTGGCTTTGTTGCTGGCGGGGCGTATGATCGGATTTGCAAGGAGCATGTCAAGTCGACCTGAACAGGGGGGATGAGTTCATGGGCTGAAAGAGGGGGTCAATGATATCACTTTCTAGACAGAAAAGGCAGCTTTAGATGAGACAAACAACCAAGAGTTTTATTGCGTCTCCATCTCTGATTCTCTATGAGGCCATGGCTGTGACTCTCCTGATGTCTGGGTATCTCCATGGTAAAACTCCAGTAAAATGCAAATATCTCTAACGGCTGTTGTCCAATGTATATGCCCCGCGAGCAATGCACCCTGTCCATCTATGGCGATCCCTTCTCTCTGATGTGAGTTGCCGGAAAATCGACCCGTCTCTCTGAGAGTTTAGACGACGGCTATTATATATCCTCTTGCTTGATGTGGACTTCTAAGCTGTCCTCACCCTCTTGTTTGATGGCGACACCATGGTCGGTGATAGCCTCTTGTTTGATGAAAGCGCCATACTCGAGATTATCCTCTTCCTTGATAATATCCACCCCCTCTCTCTGTACAACAACACCCTCCTCTCGCCCCAAAGCCACCGAGCGATGGCGCTCACCACCTGCCAACTCCCTTACCACGACGCCTTCCTCCCTTCCCAAAGTGACAGACCGACGACGGTGATCCTACTCCTGCATCCTGTCACCGGTATTCACCCCCTGGGCCTCGGCCATACCAGCAAAATGCGCCTTGACCCTCTCCCAGGTCTCGGCCTCGACGTCCCTCTCTGTCGTTGACGAAGCCAAGTTCAGCCTTCCGACGTCGAGCTTGCCGTATTTGCCTGTTCCGTCTGGGTCGAGGCGGGCGACTTTCTTGGTATCCTTGGTGCCGTCGGGCTGATATGCGCCGGGTTGGGAGTCGGGGTTTTCGGCAGATTGGGAGGGTTGTTGGTTGGAGGAGGTGGCGGCGAGGGAGATGATGTTTGCTTCTTCGAGGGCGTAGATTTGTCGGTTGAGGTGTTTGGATATGCGGTCGATGGTGCGGAAGTAGGATGTTTGGGCTGATTTGAAGGCTTCTTGGGGGGCGTTGGGGCTGGTTGGGGAGGGGGGGGTGGAGAGGGCGGTTAGGGAGGCTATTACGGGGGTTAGGAGGGAGGTGATGTCGCGGTCTGTGGAGGCGAGGTGGGAAAGGTGTTCGGGGAGGGTGAAGGGGGTGTGGATGTCGATTGGTTGTTCTTGGGGGTTGGGGGGTGGGGGGTTCATGGTTGCGGTTGGTTGTTGGTGTGCCGGGGTGGGTGAGTGAGTGGTGATTGTTTGGATCGTGGTTGTTTGCTAAGAATTTGATGTGCGAAGAATCTGGTGTTGTGAGTAAAAAGAGGTGGCTGCTTATGGCAGAGTTCAAGATCGCAAGCTCAGAGCTGCCCCGCGAAAGTGAATGTGACGTGAAGCTAGGACCGGGGTCTTTGCGCTAAAACGGCAAGGGGTGGAGCTCGGGCACGGGCCTCGGACAGGGAGTTGGCTCGACACAAACGCGGAAAACTCCGCGGTCGGTTCACCTCGATCCATTCAATCACTGTGAGACGGAGACAGCGGTCGAGTATAAGTTGAAGAGATACATGGTCGTATATCTTCACTCACCAGGCGCATCAAAAATAAGTGCTGCTTATCTTACAAACAGCTCAAACGATTAGATCACGATAAAACTCGATTCAGAGATATCAAAACTCTCCAAGCTTTGCGCTGGCTTCGGAGAAGGCGTCTGGTTCATGAAGTAGAGCGCGTTGGGGAAGCGCGACCCCGCCAAGTGTGTGATCTCTCTCCAACGTCCACTTTTGCTTCAATTCTTATTATTATCTATTATCTTTCGTCCCAGCATTCATCATGTCAAATCCCCCACCTCAACCAACAGGTCAGGCCCCGCCTAGCGCCTCATATTCGGGGCAGCCACAGTCGGCAGGTGGTGCACCTGCTCCCTCACAGCCGGCGACGACCAGCACCCCATCAGCACAGAACCTCAATCAGATTGTAGGTTGATTTCTCTGCTCTCGTTGTTCTGCCCCAACTCCTTCATTCGCTACCCTAAAGCCACACCGTTTCCGTCGTTCTGGCCCCATCCTCAACCGCCATCGAACGCCATTTTACATTTCAGAGTCGATATCTTCGACTAATAACGCCCCATTCAGCCTTGTTGAGAACTTGAAGTTCTCAGAGCAGGCCAACGATGAGTACCCAACAAGTCGTGGAAGCTCGTAACCGCTATTATGTACAAAGCAGTCAAGCGGCGGAGAGAGAGGTGAAGCCAGTTGGTAATGATGCTAACGCGCGGGCGATTTATCAGGTTACCGACTATCTGAAGAAAAAGGGTTTCACCAAAACTGAGGCTGTCTTTCGCATCGAGACTGCCCATCTCGGTCCAGATGGGAGACCAGCAAACCGAGGCCAAGATCCCGCCGACCCAAAGAGGTACCTCAAGGCGTTCATTCTCATCAAGAACTGGATCGACAACAACTTGGACATCTACAAGTTTGAGCTTGAGAAGCTTCTGTGGCCCATCTTCGTCTACTCCTACCTGGAGCTTGTTGGCCAGGGCTACCATGAGGATTCAAAAACTTATCTTGCGACTCTCCGGCCACACTTTGAGACAGTTCACCATGACACACTGAGGTTGCTCAGCACTGTCACCCTGCCACAGCACATGAACGAGGACCCCACGATCAAGTTGTATAAGGAGAACAAATACCGGATTCCGCTGAACAACACTCTGACCCTCAACCTGTTTCAGTTCCTCCAGCGCGACTCCGATTCGGGCGGAAGCACCCTCATCTACATTCTTCAAACCTTCTGCGCAATCGACAACAGCTCACGTGGTCCGATCGAGCCTTATAGTTTCGAGGCCGTTTACCGTCGGACCCAAAACCGTGAGTTGGACGAGATTGACGCGCAAGAGGGCATTCCCGGCGTCTTCACTGGCGTTGCGAATCGCGACGTCCTCGACAACACAGCCAAGTTGAAACTAGGCCCATTGCCTATGGAACCCGAGCTCAGAGATGACGTTCGCATTGAACTTGAGGAAGAAGACCAGTCGCACCCACCGGTGGACGGCCGACCCAGCTTGGTCGAAGTGTTTGACAAACGCATCAAGCAAGAAGAGGGTGACGACGTTCCATCGCGAGCTGACCTACCTCTCCCACAATCGCGAGCCAGGGATGTCGTCATGGAGATGCAAAAGGTGCGCGAGAACCGCGACAGGTTCCTGATTGAGGGTCGTACTGGGGGAGTTGGAGTGCCTGTGTCAGTTTGCATGTTTACCTTTCATAACACGCTCGGAAAGTAAGTTTCTGGTCTGCTAAGGGGTGAGTGGCTGACCATTGTACTAATCGCAATTCTTGTAGCGTCTCATGCATGGAATTCTCCAACGATCACCAGCTAGTTGCTGTGGGCACCTCTGATTCCTACATTCGCGTCTGGGATCTGGAGGGCAAACCGCTTCGGACAACGCTGGACAATGAAAAAGACCTCAAGGTCAACAATAGGAAGCTGATTGGCCATTCGGGTCCTGTCTTTGGTATCTCCTTCTCAGATTCCACCGCTTCCCTTGACCGGAATCCCTACCTTGAAGGGTCCGGGAAGCCGGTAGACACCAGCGCGAAGCTGTTGCTGTCTTGTTCTATGGATGGTCAGGTTCGCCTGTGGTCACTCGAATCCTGGTCTTGCCTCTGCATCTACAGGTCTCACGACGGTCCTATTTTTCGCGTGCTTTGGGGTCCACATGGACACTACTTTGCCACGGCCGGATGGGACAAGACGGTCCGTATCTTCACCCAAGATCATGCTTCGGCTCAGCGCATTATGGTCGGCCATGACACCCCGATCTCGGCCATTGCGTGGCATCCCAACGGAACATATGTCTTCTCGGCCTCTGACGAAACTGACAAGTCGATTCGGATGTGGTCTCTCACAACTGGCGGCTGCGTTAGAATTTATACCGGACATGCCGACTACATCAGCGCCTTGCAGTGTGCTCCCAACGGAAAGATTCTTGCCAGCGCCGACACAGGTGGCAATATTTTCCTTTGGGATATCGAGAAGAGCAAACGAATCAAGAGGATGCGAGGCCACGGGAAGGGCGGCATCCCATCTCTCAGTTTCAGTGCCGAGTCGAATATTCTCATCTCTGGCGGGCTTGACGGCACGGTTCGAGTTTGGGATGTCGAGCTGCCAGCCGACCCCAGCAAGGCGAATCCCTTAGCCGGCGGCTCAGTCCAGCCAGGTCAACAGCCTGATGGGATAACTGTTGCCAGTGACAGCATTGCGGTGGCGGGGTCTGGTGACAATCGGTCCATCACTGTCGGCGGACAGGCTGCTCAGGTTACAGGTGCGAACACCTCTGGGGCTGGTAGTGGGAGTGGTGGTGGAGGTGGAGGTGGGTCTGGCAAGAAGAAGTCGAAGGAGGTTCAGGTTACTCCTGATCAAATCAGCGCGTTCCCTACCAAGAAGACTCCGGTCTTGAAGGTGGCGTTTACACGGATGAACTTGGTGGTGGCTGGAGGATGCTATGACCCTGATCGTTAGGAGAAGGTCAAGGGAGGTAGCTGGGGTTTGAAGTAGCGTTTGGGTTATATCGGCGTCAAAACATGATCGAGGGAATAAAAGGGGTTCTCGGTTTTGGGAAGCAGATACATTTATTGGGCGAGAAGCTGAGCCTGGCGTTATGGTCTGCTGTTTTTATATGGTAATAATTGATAAACACCTATCTCTTGCAGTGTTGAGAAATTGCATAATCACGAAACCGTATCACGCTGTTGATATGTACTTGAATGGCACCAGATGTTGATGTGCTGGGGAAGGAGAAGGGGAAGCTCCCCCCTCCGAACCCCACATTGATGGCTGCCAAGAAAGGCTTAGTTCAACGACCTACCTGGGTACCTGGGTCGGGAGCATGCGCTACCTGCCTGCATTGCGCAACACACCTCACCTCCCAACTCGGAGCTCGAGACACCTACCCTCTCCATCGAACGTCACTAAGCAAGAGGTGTTGGCCGTGTAAATTGTCTCCAGCTCACACTTTCAAAGCATTTCTTGCGCAGCCTTTTTCAACCTCGACCTCACGAATAACAGTTTACAGCCATTTAACAATGGAGGACCCCTGGGCCGACTCGGCCGGCACCTCTCAGGCGACCGACGACACCACGACCACGACCACAACCCCCTCGACCACCACCACCAGCACCGCTCCCGCGCCGGCGACGGCAGCTCCCACATCTTCTTCTTCTTCCTCCCGCCCGTCGAGAATCACACCCCGCCGGCTGATCGCCAAACCGACCCAGCTCCAAGCAGTAGAAGATGACCCCCTCGGTCCTCTGGGAGCAGCTACCCCGCCCGCGACCACTCCCGCCGCCGCGGAGGATGTCTCCCCCCCGGTGCCGCCCTCGAAAGAACTCCCCCTCCGAACCACAATGCCCGCTCCTCTTGGCGGTGCCAAGCGAGCCGGCCCCCCAGATCCGCACAGGATCGATGACGATGATGACGAGGGCAGTTTGTTTGCTGCTTCTGGACCGAGACAGCCCCCGCCGGTGCAAGGGGCGTTGCCTAGCCCGGTGAGGACGACGACGGGGGCGCCGCCGAGTGTGAGTGTTGAGCAGGCGGCGAAGCCGGTGTTTAGCATCACGGTGGGGGATCCGCACAAGGTGGGGGATTTGACTAGTAGTCATATCGTTTATTCTGTTAGGACGAAGGTATGTTTACTGAGGGGAAATGGATAGGGGGTGGAGGGGGGTAAGGATGTTAACGGGATGGCAGACTACCTCCAAGGCGTATAAAAACCCCGAATTCGAAGTCAAGCGCCGGTATCGCGATTTCTTGTGGCTTTACACCACGCTTCATGGCAACAATCCCGGTGTTGTTGTCCCGCCTCCTCCGGAGAAGCAGGCGGTGGGGAGGTTTGAGAGTAATTTTGTCGAGGCGAGGAGGGCGGCGTTGGAGAAGATGCTAAATAAAATTGCGGGGCATCCGCAACTGGGGCTGGATGGGGATTTGAAGCTGTTTCTGGAGAGTGAGAGTTTCAATATTGATGTCAAGCACAAGGAGAGGAAGGAGGTGAATTTGGGGGGGGAGTCCAAGGGGGTGCTTGGAAGCTTGGGGTTTGGGGGTGGGGGGAGCAAGTTTGTGGAGCAGGATGATTGGTTTCATGAGAGGAGGGTGTATCTGGATGCGCTGGAGAATCAGTTGAAGGCGTTGCTGAAGGCGATGGATGGGATGGTGCTGCAGAGGAAGGCTATGGCGGAGGCGGCGGGGGATTTTTCGGCGAGCTTGCATGCTTTGTCTACTGTGGAACTGTCGCCTACGCTGTCGGGGCCGCTGGATGCGTTATCCGAACTGCAGCTCACCATTCGCGATGTTTACGACCGCCAGGCCCAACAGGATGTGCTGACCTTTGGGATTATCATTGAGGAGTATATCCGGTTGATCGGGAGTGTGAAGCAGAGCTTCTTGCAGAGACAGAAGGCGTTTCACAGCTGGCACAGTGCCGAGGGGGAGATGCAGAAGCGGAAGGCGGCGCAGGATAAGCTTCTGAGACAGGGGAAGAGCCAGCAGGACAGGCTGAACCAGGTCAGTGCTGAGGTTGCTGACGCGGAGAGGAAGGTTCACCAGACAAGGCTGTTGTTTGACGATATGGGGCGGTTGATGAGGGCGGAACTGGACAGGTTTGAGAGGGAGAAGGTGGAGGATTTCAAGAGTGCCGTGGAGACGTATTTGGAGAGTGCGGTTGAGGCTCAGAAGGAGGTTTGTTACCCGTTTATATGATCAGTGGCTACATGGGAGACTAACGTCTTGGAATAGCTTATCGAGAAATGGGAGACATTCCTCATGCAGCTCGACGCCGAGGACGACGAGACTGTCTTTTACAGACCACCGGTTGTGCAGGCCAACAAGCCGGCTGGCAACACGGCGGTGGATAGGGCTCGTGCTAGGATTGATGAGGACTCGGATTAGTCGTTTGCTGATGGTCCTGTTGGTCGTGGGGGGCGTTCGAGGAGCCCGAGCAGTTTGGGGGATAGGACGAACCACAGTGGTGGTGGGAAGGCAAGGAGGGAGGAGTCGTCGAGTTCGTGGACTAGTGAGTGGAGTGCCGTGTTTGGGGGGTTTGCGTGGGTGGGATGACTTGGAGGTGGACTGTTGGAGGTTTGTTACAGTGTATTGGGTAGTTTTGCGGCAGGCGATGGGTCATGGGTTTATTGAATGGGTTTTGCTGTAGTATTTAGAAACGCTGCGTCGCTGGAGGATGGGTGATGTTAAATCCAAGCATTCTCAACTCGTACACCCCCCTTTCATTGTGAGAGCCGTGATAGATGTGAGAAGTATGATCACTTCACCTGCCCCTTGTTCGAGACTTTTGGTATTTGTTTTTGTTGTTGTCTGTCCAAAAATACAACTTTATATTCCCACAGCGTTATAATACAAGGTTTTCCCTTTCCTTATTCATCTTTCCCCCATCCCTTATTTCTTCTTCCCCCCCTTATCCTTCTTCGCCTGCTCCTTTGCACTCAACCCTCCGGCGGTATTACTTGTTGATCCGGCAGCGAAATCACTGATCAAACCAACAAGACTGTCAAACGGATCACTTTCCTCTGCCTTCTTTTCTGTTGCTGCAGCTTCCTGCTGCTCGACGGCAGCCTCCTCGGCGTCCCACCCGCGGCCGTAGCGCTCTCTGAAGGCGGCGAGCTTGCCGGCCTCGTCGACCTCGACGTTGCGGAGGGACTTGTCGGTGGGCTGCCAGAGGATGTGGTTGCGGGTGTCCTTTGCCGACTTGTAGAGGGCGACGGGGGAGGTGGTGCGGACGGTGTAGGTCGATCCGTCGGAGAGCTGGACGAGCTGGGTGAACTTGTAGGGGCGGCGGTGGCGGGGGATGAAGGTTGCGTGGCGGAGCTGGGTTTGAGGTATTGGGGAGGGGAGGTGGTTGTTGTTGATGTTGAGGGATGGTCGCCTGAGGGTTTGGAGGGCTGATGGTGGGAGTTTGCTGGCCATTGTGACTGTGGGAGGGCTCCGGGGAGCGAGGGGTTTTGCGGTTTGATTCGGGTTCGAGGCCGTCGGGGCAGGTGGGAATAAAAGCTGGAGGTATCTCTCGTTGTCCCTATCGCCAATGTCGTCGTCGTCTCCAAATCTTCAATTACTCGTCCTTCCCGCTTGCCGCGCCGATTGGTTCCCCTGGTTCGAAATTTTGATAACTCGCGGCGGGCGGCACAGCTCCAACCCGCGGCAGCCCGCAATTGAGAGCCCACTCAGCAAGGGTCCGGGGTTGTTATCGGAGCTTATCGGAGCTTATCGATAACTTTATTTGCAGGGGTGGGAGCCGTTCGATGACGGACCCAAGGCCGTGGAAGTGGAAGAAGCCGATTTGCGACTGAGATGAACAACAGATTTTGACATTGGCCATAAGTTCGTCTGATTTGCTTTGAAGGAAGTCGGAAAGACAGTATATGGTGTCAAAAATATGAACTCCCCCCCACGAATTACGGTGGGCTTGAAAGCTGCCGCAGAGAGATGCAGCAACTCGGCCGCCGTCATCACAGCACCAACATTGAGCATGAGAAGCGCAAAGCCAATGCCTATGCGCCGGCTGCATATCCAGAGTCAACAACATATCAACAAGGGGCATGTACCATCATGTACAATTCTACCACACCCACGAAGAGCACCAATATCACGTATGAACCTCACATCTCCATCCTTTGTCTCTTCTAACAGTTCCTCAGAACCCCTCACTCATAAACCACCTCATAATCGAACCCTCAGCACAACCCCCCATCCCCTCCGACAATTCACCACCTCCCTCCCAACCCCCCCCTCAATCCACCCTCACTCCTCCTCCTCCACCTCCCTCCCCCTGCCAGAACAGTTCCGCTCCCTAATGCGCCTAATAACCCACTCCGTCGTCGTCTGCACCTCCTCCTCCTCCGGTTCAATCCCCCGAGCAATGACAATGTCCTCCTTCACCTCCCTCTCCCTCCTCCCCACCCCCATCATCTCCTTCAACATCGCCACCCCCTCCCGCACCTTTGACGCCCTCTCCTCCTCCCGCCTATTCAACATCCACATCCTCACCGACGACCCCTCCGGCGCGAGAATAGCCGACTGGCTTGCCAGAGGAAACGCAGCCGGGCTGGAGGTGTTTGAGCAGCTCCAATCCGAATGTGGTTGCTCCTACGAGACAGAGACAAAAGGGGAGGCGCCAATACTAAAAGGGCCGGGCGTGTTATATGTCTTACGCTGTGAGCTGTTGCAGGAGCCAATGGGGGGGTTGGTGAAGGTGAGGGATCATTATATTGTTTTGGGGGAGGTGAAGGAGATTCTGGAGGTGAATGGGGGTGGGAAGGAGGACAAGTTTGGGTTGATGTATGCGGATAGAAAGTATAGGGAGTTAGGGGGGTGTATTATTCCTGGGGAGGGGGTGGAAGAAGGGAAGGATGGTGAGGAATAGTGAGAGAACATGTGCTTCGGAAGCATGAGTAGGGACATAGAGCGAAGTTCTTGTACAATCTTGGGACCTAAAAGGTTTAGAAAAGGGTTACGGGACATGGACGACGACTACGAGTCAGGGAATTGTATGTGTAGATATCATTCAGGGCGGTTGGGCTGTCATCTCCTCGCATCCACACGGCATTGGCGTTTTGGTCGGGAGCATTTCACCTGTACAAAAGAAATAGAGATTGTCCGAGCAGGAGACATTGAGATAGGTGGTTGGGTGTCTAGCCCAGAGTGAAACCATGATTCGATTTTCGTTTTGCTCCATCTAGTAAGCATAAGGGGGTAAGGCTTTGCGAAATGTCAAACATATATGCTCCCTCCTTGTAATGTGTTTTGGATTGTTGATTTATCTGATCTTGACGAGCTCGGTCTCGAAGATGAGGGTGGCGTTCTTGGGGATGACACCGGGAATGCCGCGCTCGCCGTAGGCGAGGTTGGAGGGGATGGTCAGCTTGCGCTTCTCGCCAACCTGCATGCCGACGAGGCCGGCATCCCAGCCCTGGATGACCATGCCGGCGCCGACGGTGAAGTTGAGGGGCTGGCCGCGCTTGTAGCTCTGGTCGAACTCGGTGCCGTCCTCGAGGGTGCCCTTGTAGTGGACATCGACGGAGTCACCTGTTGTGGGCAATTGGTGTTAGCTTTGATGATATACTATGCTTAAGCTGCTTAAGAGACAGGAGGACAAGCTTACCCTTCTTGACCTCAGGGCCGGAGCCAGCGTTCTGGGACTCAATCTTGAGACCTTCGGGAGCGTCGGCGGGGATACCCATTCTGGCGGCTGTGAATGAAAGATTGCGGGTGGCTGGAGTAGTCAATTGACGAAGCGATCTGGTAGCTTGGAAGATGGAACTTCTGAACATGATGGAAAAGGGGAGAAAAATCAGCGGGGCTTGGTGGAGGGGCAGGTCAAGCTCTTAAATGGGGTGGGAGGGTTGAAGAAAGTGGCATTCCAGGCAGGCAAAGCAGCAACACTGGCAAGGTGGGGCACAAAGTGCAGCTCCCCCCAAAAGCTTGCCCGCAGTTGCAGCTCTCTCTCCCCACGGCAGCTCAGCCCCCCTGGCTCTGCCGCTCCCCGCCCCGCGATGCGGCACCCCTCTTTCCTGATTGCGTCACCCCTCCAGAAGGTCGGGCGGGGCTACGCTTAGCGGCCGAACAGCACAGGGACGGCGAACCAGACAGCTGAATCTCTCACTCACCAAAGGATCAAACATGAGGGGTTGGTTCATCTCCCCTGTGCTTCATCAGCAATGTCGGTGAGACGTCGTGGATGTGCAACCATTCATGCACGTGTTTCTTCCTGCGACCGGTGCCAAGTCCTTGGGGTCCTGTTGATCTCCAGGAATAGAAGACGGTTGCGGACAGACAGCAGAGCACGAAAAGCTGCCGACGGACCCGGTATCTGCTCTCACCAAGCTTGTATTTTGCACAAGGACATAAATGGGAGGGTGGTGATGAGAATAAGTTAAACTCCGTACATCTCGGTATTCTACAGAATACACTTCTTGTGAGGCTTGCAGCTTCTACTCAACAAAACTTGCTATCAAGTGATTCAGATTTGCTATCGGACACCATCACTTGGTATTAGACTGTCGGGTTGAAGTTTGTCAGACAACTTGTGTAAGTTGTGTCTATAAGGTATCGACATATGAAATTCCAAATGATAGCTAGGGAACAACGAGGCCGCTGCTCCAACCTGCCATGGTGCTATCAATCGAAAACCAGCCGGCACAGTATGTTATGCCTTGTCACCTGGCAGCGCAACACATCAGACATGTTCCCCACGAACCACGTCAGCCGCCCGGGTGCTCACTTCCAGATGATATTTCTGTTTCACAAGCACAAAACACCTCGACAGATAGGTGTGCTGGATCTCAACTGCCACTGAAACCCTATCTTAACTCTGGATGATACTATAGGGTGGAAACCCATATATTGAGCTGGCACCACATATTCTGGCTGACAATGTGTCAAACAGTAAGCCATACCATGGAGAAGGAGCTTGCTGCTGTTCGAGCCTATCATTCTCTCAGAATCGACATCTTTACCGATGAAATCTGGCAATTGGCTTGTAGTCACCGTTATAATGAGCCTTCCCCATCTTACTCGAAAGGCAAGATGGTCTGCTGCCAGTTGCGAGAAGCTGACCATAAGTAACCCTCTGCTTCATACCCCATGGCCAAATCAAACCAGCTTCAACCTCAGCCTGTTGACGGTGCTTTTGAGGCTCCTTCGCCGCCACATCGAGGGACATGACCAAATCCGACAAGAGCCCATGGTATACTTGCAGAAGGCATTACGCCAGCGGTGATCACCCTAAGGTACTATTTCCTCTGCGGTTTCATTCCGTTGTCAAGAGGGCGAGAGCGAAGCTCTCTACTACTTGACAACTTTGGCCGTTGCTCTGGGATACGGAGGACCCGGCATAAAGCCTGCTAGAGTGCTGGTTATCCTACTGTGTGTGTCTGCAATGCCGTGTCGTAAGAAACGCAAGACCAAAGAAATCCAAAGGAAGTAAACAACCTTCAGGGGTAATGTCTTCGAAGGAAGGCACCACTCAGGTAGCCTTGGAGGTCCACCCCTCACCTGGCCGTTGGGGTTGGTTGCCTTTCCATCTGAACATGCAGCAACGGTGATAGGTAACGGCCTCGTCAGCTTTCACCAGTTGCTTGATCCAGTGTCCCATCTTCTTTGTGACTCCTAAATGCACGGGCCAACCAACGCGGGGTTGGCAGGTGGAACAGGGGCCAGCCTCGTTTTCAGCCTCGCTGGGCGTCTCGGGAATTCTGGAGCCTTCTCTGACAGCGACGGGAGGACAGCACTTCGATCAGTGATTTCCATGCCAAGATGGCTCCAGTGAGGCTCACCGTGATGGAAATGGCATTCTGAGAGAGCCTAGAAGCGCTGTACGACTTCCATTGAGTTCTCGACCCCAGTTTGGTGGTTTGCTGTGGCAGCCGCAGAGGTGGGGGGAAGTTGCCTGAGCGGAGCTGGCACAGGGGCCAATCAGCATAGCGGACCGTTGCTGTGGAGGCCGAATCAAACGAATCACAGAGAAATGGTAGAATTTTGGGCGATAGAATCTCATAGAAACACTGCAGAGCACAGCCCAGGGGTGCCTCCAAAGACATTTTAGCTGCCGCCCTCCTCCCTCTTCCTGTCCTCTCCTTCCTTCCTTCCCATCTTCAGACCAACAACCACCTTCCTCTCTTCTCTCTGCTTCATACCTGCCCTGCCAGATCTTTCCTGCTAGGCGTAGATCGTAGACTACTCGAACATCCCCTTTTGGTAAGTCGCTGCCCCTCTTACAGTCGCCAGTCCCATTCTTCAGCCTTGCGGCCTGCCCCTCCTTCCCTCTCTACGAAATTGCTCCCCAATCGCACCCAACAAACAAAGCTCTATCGTGTGGCTTATTGCAATTGCAATTTCGAAGCCTTATCGGACAGAGCATCTGCTGGGATTTTGTGAACGGCGGGGCTATTTAAAGTTTGAGAGTTATCAGCTTGGGGCTGCCCGCTCGAACCCTTCCACCCCGCACTATTGTCTTGTTTTCTTCAAGCCACTACATCACACAAGAAAAATACTTTGCAAAAACCACCAGGCGACGATTCTAACCGACTCAAATCGATCAGATACCCCAGATTCGACTTCAGATACCCTTTCAAGATGGCTGAGACTTTCGAGTTCCAGGCTGAGATCTCTCAGCTTCTCTCCCTCATCATCAACACAGTCTACTCCAACAAGGAGATCTTCCTCAGAGAACTTGTCTCCAACGCCTCCGATGCCCTCGACAAGATCCGCTATGAGTCTCTGTCCGACCCCAGCAAGTTGGACACTGGCAAGGATCTCCGCATCGACATCATCCCCGACAAGGAGAACAAGACTCTGACCATCCAGGATACCGGTATCGGTATGACCAAGGCTGACCTCGTCAACAACCTTGGCACCATTGCCCGCTCCGGCACCAAGCAGTTCATGGAGGCTCTCACCGCTGGCGCTGATATTTCCATGATCGGTCAGTTCGGTGTCGGTTTCTACTCTGCCTACCTCGTTGCCGACAGAGTCACCGTTGTCTCCAAGAACAATGATGACGAGCAGTACATCTGGGAGTCCAGCGCCGGTGGCACTTTCAACATCTCCCCCGACAACGGCCCCTCCATTGGCCGCGGCACCAAGATCATCCTCCACCTCAAGGATGAGCAGACTGATTACCTCAATGAGTCCAAGATCAAGGAGGTGATCAAGAAGCACTCTGAGTTCATCTCTTACCCCATCTACCTCCACGTTCAGAAGGAGACCGAGGTCGAGGTCCCCGATGAGGAGGCCGAGACCGTCGAGGAGGGTGACGACAAGAAGCCCAAGATCGAGGAGGTCGAGGACGATGAGGAGGACAAGGAGAAGAAGCCCAAGACCAAGAAGGTCAAGGAGGTCAAGACTGAGGAGGAGGAGCTCAAGTAAGATTCCCGCTTTCCCAACCAAATTATGAAGGTGTTTTTTTCTGACTTTTCTTTTTTTCCTTTTTTCAGCAAGCAGAAGCCCATCTGGACTCGCAACCCCCAGGACATCACTCAGGAGGAGTATGCCGCCTTCTACAAGTCTCTCTCCAACGACTGGGAGGACCACCTCGCCGTCAAGCACTTCTCTGTTGAGGGTCAGCTTGAGTTCAAGGCCATCCTCTTTGTGCCCAAGCGCGCTCCTTTCGACCTCTTCGAGACCAAGAAGACCAAGAACAACATCAAGCTCTACGTCCGCCGTGTGTTCATCACTGACGATGCCACTGACCTCATTCCTGAGTGGCTCAGCTTCGTCAAGGGTGTCGTCGACTCTGAGGACCTTCCCCTCAACCTTTCTCGTGAGACTCTTCAGCAAAACAAGATCATGAAGGTTATTCGTGTAAGTTTTTCTAAGCATACTGATCACCCTTACTTTTCTGAAAAGAAAAAAAAGAAGAGAGGAAAAAAGAAAATCTCTTTTTTTTCTCTTCAATTTCCCCCCCTTCCCCCCCAGATGGCTAACAACCACTACAGAAGAACATTGTCAAGAAGGCCCTCGAGCTCTTCACTGAGATCGCCGAGGACAAGGAGCAGTTCGACAAGTTCTACACTGCCTTCTCCAAGAACATCAAGCTCGGCATCCACGAGGACTCCCAGAACCGCAACACCCTCGCCAAGCTCCTCCGCTTCAACTCCACCAAGTCTGGCGATGAGCAGACCTCCCTCTCCGACTATGTCACGCGCATGCCCGAGCACCAGAAGAACATGTACTACATCACTGGCGAGTCCATCAAGGCTGTCTCCAAGTCTCCCTTCCTTGACTCTCTCAAGGAGAAGGGCTTCGAGGTTCTCTTCCTTGTTGACCCCATTGATGAGTACGCCATGACTCAGCTCAAGGAGTTCGAGGGCAAGAAGCTTGTCGACATCACCAAGGACTTTGAGCTCGAGGAGACCGAGGAGGAGAAGAAGCAGCGTGAGGCTGAGGAGAAGGAGTACGACGGTCTCGCCAAGGCTCTCAAGAACGTTCTCGGCGACAAGGTCGAGAAGGTTGTTGTCTCCCACAAATTGGTCGGCGCCCCTTGCGCCATCCGCACTGGCCAGTTCGGCTGGTCTGCCAACATGGAGCGTATCATGAAGGCCCAGGCTCTCCGTGACACCTCCATGAGCAGCTACATGTCCTCCAAGAAGACCTTCGAGATCTCCCCCAAGAGCCCCATCATCAAGGAGCTCAAGCAGAAGGTTGAGGCCGACGGCGAGAACGACAAGACCGTCAAGTCCATCGTTCAGCTCCTCTTCGAGACCTCCCTCTTGGTCTCTGGCTTCACCATTGAGGAGCCCGCTGGCTTCGCTGAGCGCATCCACAAGCTTGTCGCTCTCGGCCTGAACCTCGACGAGGAGCCCGAGGCTGCTGCCGATGCTCCCGCCGCCGATGCCGGTGTTGCCGCTGCTGAGACCAGCGACAACGCCATGGAGGAGGTTGACTAAACGACTCGCAATGACTGGGAATGAAAAAGTGGCTTGGGAACGGAGTTGGACGGATTCTAGCTAATGACAATACCTTTATGTTTTTTTTTCTCTTTTTCAAATTTGCATCAGTTTTCCGATCGAGCAACTTCCACATCGCCGTTGTTGAGGACGACGGCGCCCGTTTTTCTGTACTTTTAGTCAAGGACATCGGGATCGGTCATGGTCTGAGGAGGAGCATGTTACCAGGATTAGACGGAAATACAGAGTTTCTGATCAACTTTTTGGCCTTATGCTGTGACTTATGCTGTGACTTGTGCTATAACTTGTGCTAGGACTTGTGCTAGGACTTGTGATGTAATTTATGTTGTGATTTTTCCGATGCCTCTTCGCATGACGAACACAAGGTATGCTTGTGACAGGTTCAGCATGCCTCAAGATCTAAAATGTACGTATCACTTGAACTTCAAAAGGCCTCTTGGTTGAATCGACAGGCGTAAATGTTCTGTTTATACAGCTTCAATCTTGAACAATAGGCCTATTCAGATATTATCAATACCTTTTGACTATCTTCCGAGGCATATCGACTATCTCTGAAGGCCTGTGGAGTATCTTTCAAGGCATACACACTGTTTTTTTGATGGATACTAACTATCTTTTAACAGATATGAATTTTCTTCTGATGCATATGAACTATCCTTGAAGGTATCTGAACTATCTTATAGGTTGGATGACAAGGAAGTGGACCACATATGGATGTGGCCCAGGTAAGTTTGAACTACCACAAGCCATCTACCCACATTAAACCCTCCACAACCCTGGACCTCCGAAAGCCCCCCGATATCAACACACACTTTATATTCCACCCACAGAGACCAAAAATGAAGCTTTTCTTTTACTTTTTTTTGCTCCAGGTACCCAACAATGACCAAATATACCGAGGAGGATGTTAAAAATGCCCAGAAAGACATTGCCGTTGGTATAAGCTAGCGAAAAGCGTCCAACAAGCACGGGATTCCACGTTCCACCCTGAAGCACCGCATTGATGGTACCCCTACAAGGAACCT